CTGTCTATAGTTTAGAGATAAATGATTTTCCCCGTTTTTTCCACTTTCCCCGGTGTTTTTTCGCTTCTATTAGTCACATCGCGATTTTTATAGCCTATAGCCTTTCTCAATAAATGCTAAGGTGTGTTTGTTTTTTGTTTTGTTGCCCGAAATAACCATTCTACACCGACGAAGTCGTTGGCACAGCTAGCGCGTTAAGGCCTTATCGCCGTCGTCAAATTGACACTGTGTTGCCAGTTACACAATGCGATTGACATAATCTCCTCTCGAGCCTATTGCCATATCAATACCTTACGAATGTAACAACGTGCAATTGTTATTACGTACTTGCGCGCACGACTTTGTTATTTCTAATGAGACAATCCTATTAGAACAATTTGAGACCGTTTAAAAGTGAAACCGCATTCCCTTTACGTAGCCATATTTTTGTGTTTAGCTTATTGCAACGCGTTTATGATATGGTCTAACCAACACAGAAAGAATATTTCAATTCAAACCAGTGTTCCTTAAATAAGTGCATTCAAAAAAAACACAAACACTTCAACTTTATAATATTATTTAAGTGACCATCAGTTAGAAAACTAAGTGTATAGCTAGCTACACACTTTGATTTCCAATTGGTTCTAAGAAGTTTTCGAGTACTTGACTTAAATTAGTAATATCACGAAAAAGCCTAAAAGAAACATTATCGAATTTAAGAAATATTTTCCATATAAACTTGTATAACGCAATATTAATTTACTGATTGTGCCCGCGACATCATCTGTCCGGACTAGTGTCTCTGGTAAATTTTTCACATTGTATTCAAGTTTGATTAAACATTATATAATTGAGGCCGTTTGAGGCATAGTAGCCTAACAGCAATATGACTTGAGTTATTTATATTTTCATAGTCTACAAATTATAATCGTCAAGAGCACAGTGACCGAAAATTGATAACATAATTTTTACAAAAATGTAAGTTTATTGAAAATCGTGTGTTTTGTTATTAGGCCACTTTGCTTCCAGCAGACTAAATTGTACAATGTTTAATCAAATTTAAATACAAATTGAACAATTTACTAAACTAAAGACACTAGCCCTCACAGACGATGTCGCGGGCTTAACCAGTAAATGAATATGACGTTAGGTATACAAGTTTATACGTAAAATATAAGTTAATGTTTCGTCTGGAGTTTTTTCGTGATATTACTAATGTAATTCAAGTAGTCGAAAACTTCGTATAACCAGTTAGAAATCACAGTGTAAAAAAACGCTATACTTATTATCTCTCTGATTCTTAAGTGGCGTTCAATTAATTCATCTATACAATATGCATCTATAATAAAACTGAAGAGTTTGTTAAATTAATGTTAGTACTGGTTTGATTTGAAAAAATATTTTTGTGTTGGTTAGAGCATTTCGATGCTTTAAATCTACACCTAGGCTACCACATCTAGGCTTTAAATCAACACCGCAACCTCAGGTTGCGACGAATAAAAAACAGAAGGAAATGTGGAAAAAAACGGGGAAATTTATTCATCCTCGAGGATTTCCGTGGCGTTCGCTTCGAAACGCTTCAAGACACCTAAAAAAAGTACGAATGAATTATGCTTCTTTGAATAATAATATAAAATGCCTATTGTAGTATGTCTAACTCTCAAGAACCGCATTTATGGAAATCATATTATATTTCGTGGAAATAGTTGATATGGCAAAAACACGTTTGCCAGGTCAGTTACTTATAAAACAATATGGTAAATAATATACCTCATTTTCAAAGATTCCTCTCCTCTGTGCCCCGAAACAGAAGTTAGATGAATGTTAGATGATAGACCCAAGTAGATTTCACTTAAATTATAAACACGCATTCATATGTAATTTTGAAATACATATATGTTGTCTGTACGTAACACCGTGTAACATTAGATGTAATTACCAAAAACAATACTCCCCAATCTTGAATATCTGTAAGTACTGATGGCAGGGAAAGCGAATAGATATAATCGGAAACATTGTGATTGACGCGTTACAATGTGAATATGTTGTCTGTACCTCGTAATTAGTATATACTCAATACTGGCATACAGGGTCATTGAAAAAAAAACACGTTTATATAAGGTACACATTAAAAAACTAATAATTAAGATAATAAGTTTATGTCTTCTTGAAAGTATGTTTTCTTTGCTAAAAAAGTGTGACTATAGCGAAATATAGTTTTGCTACAGTCAGGATTCGAACCCACTATCGGCATACAGTATAAAGATTATGAACATGTTTTTGTCTACATCAGTTGCTCACTCTCAACATACACATTAGGAAGAACGGTTCTAGGTTCCAATCTCAGTACCGCAACAAAGTTTCAGCCATGCACGGCCAGTCTAACAAAAACTTTGCCAATATAATTTCCCAACGTCCTGTTTAAGTGCAATGGGGTATTTCTAATTACTAATTGTAATGATATTGTCAATCATTTCACGTTACATAAAATATGTAAATATCAAGTAATAGACCCGTTTTGAGGCATTACAAACCACATTGCGTTTTCGTATTAATAATTTATTCTTTTATTTGCAATAAATGTTATAAACACGCATGTTATAATTATTGTAATTAACATTTTTATTGATAAAAAAATCCACTCCTGACTAAATTAAAGAGCAAAGGCATAGATAAAATAAAAGGTTTTCATTTCTCAAATTATTTTTTTTTGCTGAAACAGTATATCCAGTGGCGTAGCTATCGTAGGACCACGTGGTGCAGTGCACCAGGGCCCCGGAACTTAGGGGCCCTCTAACCTTATCTTTGAGAAGATATAAGCGTAGAAGAAAAGGATTTTTAACGTTCTTGTTGCTATTTATAATTTTGGAGGTTCATTTAATTAAAGTTATGCTAAAAGAGGGGAAGAGGATCGATTCTTTCTTGAGAGGCCCTTGTCCATCTACCACGCTACTGTATATATCGTAAAGAAAACATACTTTTAAGTATAATGTCCGTCTCCTTAACTTCAAACTTCTTTGATCAAACTGTTTATTGTAACAAAAACTTACTTTTTCTGAATGTGTATTGTCTTGTCTATCTTTCTTAACGTGAAATCTCTTGATTAACTAGTTTAGACTACACTAGTTACTTCCTTTTTTTATTGCTTTCCTTCTACCTATCTTTAAAATACCAAAATTAATAAAAGGTATTCTCGCGTACTTATCATCTTAAAATATTTGTTGTATTGTACATAGAAATTGGTTTTCCGAAATCAATTATATCGATGCTAAAACGAAACTAATCAATTTTGCTCGATTAGATATTAAGGCGTTACCCTGAAAATGCAAAGATTCTGTGGTTCTATATCAGAGTAAAACCAGCCTGTTTTCTTAAGTGTGCCTGTCTTTCTGCTTGTAATGAGTTTGGCGATCCGTGAGAGTTGAAGTTTTACAAAACATTTGTTGTTCTGTTGATGCCACAACAAAATAAAATACCAATAAGAACCTATTTTCAAATCTTTGAGGACAGACAAGCATGTTGTTCACTTGATGGAAAGTGGAATACCCCAGTCACATAACACCTAAGCAAGTTGTGTTGTCGACCTTTTTGGCTTTGCATATTAGAAAATCCAACAGATTGAAACCGAAACATTATTGAACATCACGGCTTTTCGTCCGTGTATGGTGGCTCGTGACACTGACGGACTTCCAGACGAAGCCCAAAATGTTATGCAAGTTGAAACGGAATTTTAATTCACCATTATTACCATATTAATTGAATTGAGTTTGTAGTTTTTAACAGATCTAAATAAAGCTTAATCAAACAACAAATAATATATTCTTGTGTAATGTCTGAGTCATTTAACTACGTATTCATTAGTTTCTTATCCTTTACTAGCTATGTCAGCGACTACGTCCGCGTAGAATCGTTATTTTGGGCATCCAAATTCGTTTTTCAAACCCCTTCACCTTTATAAACTTAAGCTGTTACCTACGACGTCGTCCCTTTCCGTCGTTCTTGCAAAATTATCTTAAAAGATATATATATATATATTTGGGTATCTTGAACCGTTTTTGCAACGGAAACCCATAATGAAGAATAATTTTCCCAATTTTTGTCACATTTCTCGCTGTATCTTCTCTCTTATTTGTCACAGGTCGATGTTTTACAGCCTTCAACGATAAATACTCTACAAAACACAAATTTTTCAATTAAAACTAGGAGTTCCTGAGATTAGCGCGTTCAAACAAACAAATAAAGTCTGCAGCTTTTTTATATTAGTATAGATTAAATGCAAGTACCTAATTGAGAGTGAATTCTATACCTATACGTTTCTGCAATGTTTTGTGAATTAAATTAAATCATCAACGCAATAATGTTTCCGGTTCAAGGTTGCCATTAAATGGAAAAAATACGAACCTGTTTCGTTTATTATATTTTCCATTACAGCTATAATATAGATAACACGTACAGCTAATTACTTAATTACTAATACAGCACAATAATTTTGATAAAACAATAACGTAAAGTCGTCATTAGGATAATCTATACTAATATTTTAAAGCTAAGGAGTTTGTTTGTTTGAGACGGTAATCCCATGACTGGTTCAAATCGTAAATGTATTTTTGTGTTAGATAGAACATTTATCGAGGTAGGATTCAGGTTATAAAACAGCATTCAGTAACCAAAAAGAACAAAGAAACAGAGGAAAATGTGGCACAAACGGGGAAAGTTACCTTTGAGGGTTTCCGTTGCGTAGTGAAACTGGTTCAAGATACCCAAAAATAAGTTTGAAAGACGGGTTTATCTTTAAATGATTTTAAAAAATGTCCGCGACGATATATGTTTAACTTTTAAGATTTGAAGTTTGAAACACTAATATGATGATCAAAATAATTTTCACGTGGACAAAGTCGCTGACAGAGCTAGTTATTGGCTATATACCCGGGTTTGCCTGAAATATTCGTGAGTTACATGTTAGGATCAAAAACAAATCTACTTCCCTCAGTATATTTTATTCAATATGTAAGAAACGACTATTATTTTAGACCTAAATAATGCATTTCCATAGTTGTGTTTAAAGCAAGACCTGATGCAACCTTATAACCTAGGTCAGGATCTATGCTATTGAATAGAGCAATCGCCCTGTCCTGCAAGAATTGCGTAGCTGAAACCAAGCTACTCAATATATTCTCTAGCAATCTTTTTCTTTCACCGTCAGTCAATGTGTATTGGTAATAATCCTTGATCTGATCCAAATTATTCGGGTCCGCTTCAATTATATGCAATAATTCCGGCTCCGAAAAGTCCCTCCAAGGTTCCACTGGTGCTGGTCCATTAAAGGAATTCGGGTAAACATTCGGAAGATACTTCTGGTTGTCTTTGACTGGTGCGTGACCATCTCGATTATACGTCAAAGGTTTAGTATTAAATGGACAATTAACTCTAATATTGTTAAAATTCGCACCCAAACGATAGTAGTGAGCGTCCCGGTATGATAGACGACGCGCCTCAAACAGTTTGTCAAGACCACCCAATATTCCGGGAACCAAATTAGCTGGATTGAAAGCTAACTGTTCTATATCAGCAAAGTAATTATCTGGGTTCCTGTCTAACACCATACGACCAACAGGATGTAATGGATATTTATCCTGGGGCAGGATTTTGGTAACATCAAACACGTCGAAATCCGCGTTCTTTACGTCATCCACGGACAATATCTGTATCGAGAACGTCCAAGATGGGAAGTCTCCATTCAAAATGGCCTTGAACAATCTTCGCTTGTTGTAATCTGCGTCTTCAGAGTTGATCCCTCTCGCTTGCTCCGACGTCAACGTTTTCTCCTCCGTATCAGGAACGAAGTGAAATCTGATGAAATAACTCATCCCTGCATCATTCACTACTTGGTAGGTGTGAATCCCGAAGCCAGGCATATTCGTATAGACAGGAATACCCCTATCTCCGAAAACGCGCATGAATGTATTCCAACTTTCCGGTCGGAGGGTCAAAAAGTCCCACATGAGGTTGGCATCTAGAAGATCCGTTTGCGGATTCCTTTTAATTGATCTGACGAAGGTCGTGAAGAAGAGAGGATCCTTTATAACAAAGGCGGGTGCACTCAGACCGACGATATCGAAATTTCCTTCCTCAGTATAAAACTTTACAGCGAAGCCTCTTCCGTCTCTGAGGGTATCGCTGGCACCTCTGTCTCCAAATATAGATGAGAACCTGATAGCTATAGGTGTCCTCTTGCCAACTGATTCGAACATTTTCGCTTTGCAAATGTGCGTGATGTCATGGGTTACTTCGAAAAAGCCAAATGCTCCTGCGCCGTTTGCGTGGACCACTCGTTCTGGAATACGCTCGCGAGAGAAATGCGTTAGGGAATCCATAAAGTACTCGTGGAACAACAATCTACTGTTGAGAGTGCCCGTTGCGTATTTGTATTTCACGGGGGCTCCATTACTAGTTGTCATGATACCGATGGGTCCCTGCAAACGTAATTTAAACATGTTATTCTAATAAATTAAAAATCGATTTCATTTTGCTTGCGTTCCGTGCTGTTGCTCTAACCAATTGAGCTATCGTGTTCGTTGGTTAGAGCAACAGCACGGAACGCTATGCCTACCGGTTCAAAGTGGACCCGTGTCCTAAGTTGTTTTTTATTTATAATTGATTTTTTATATATATAGTGCCATCATGCAATAACATGCAATAATATATAAAAGTTTTCAAATGTATACCTAAGAAATTATAAATGATATCTATACTAATATATAAAGCTGAAAGTTATTTGTTTGTTTGAACGCGCTAATCTCAGGAACTACGGGTTCGAATTGAAAATCTATTTGTGTGTTGATTAGAACATTTATCGAGGAAGGCTATAAAACATCGCCCTGTGACTAATGGGAGCGAAGATACCGCGAGAAATGTGAAAAAATTGGTAAAATTATTAATCGTTATACGTACGCTACAAAAACTGTTCATGATACCCAGAAAATTTATATAAAAAAATGATTCCCCTTTAAATGATATAAAAAAAAGTCCGCGAGGCTCTCCGTCTATCTTTGAAGATTAACTTGCAAGAACGATGGGACCCAAACGAAAGGTCGCGAGCGATGGGATGCGTCCGATGTCGATGTTGGATAGCAGTTTAAAATTATAAAGATGAAGAGGATGTTTGCAAAAACGAATTTGGATGCACAAAATAACTATTCTACGCGGACGAAGTCGCTGGCACAGCTAGTAATAATATATGCGTTACACTAATATAATAGAATTGCTTATAGCAAAAAAAAATGTAATTAGACAACAAGTGACTGAAACAAAAAAGTGACAATTAAAAAATAGGCTGTAATGAACTTAATTTCAAATCTAAATTATCAACGATAATTCTAGCAAAACAATAGTAAGTAAATTTTATGCCCTTTTAACAATGGGACTTCCCAGCAATAAAATTTAAATAAGCTTTTGCGGAAACAGCTTCTGCTTAAGCGTGTTGCCTAGCATTGCGTTAAGCAAGAGAGGTCAGGGTACAGAAGCCTACACAGCTACGTGAATAAAAATGAATTGTGAAACGGATACAGCAAAGTATTCTCCCCATTCTATTTTCCCCATTAGCGGGGAAAATAGGAACATAATTAATTTTCTTGGCAAATCCGCCCTGCACCATTTTCATATAATCTTGTATATCTTACCTGAGTGCTGTTCTTGAATGCGACCAACTGTTGTGCGGGGTCATCGTAAGCAGCTGTCACAATGGGAATTAACAAGATAATTGAGCGAAACATAGTAATCGAGCATACACGATGTACAAAGCGGCGGTCGCTTTTATAACCCGCACCAATCTAATTTGCTACAGTTATCCACAGACGTAAATCACCACAGCATAAACATTGCGAAATATTCAGTAGTTAAAAAAAAAGTAAATAAATAACGCGCCGGCGCACGGTTGCTTTTTTATTCTAAATTCAAGTGACGTCCGCCGCGCTGTGCAACCGCGGAAAAATTATTGTTTGTTCTGTGTTTAAATTATTCACGAAGCCGTGTGTCGTTTGAAAATATATTTAATTACTTAATCTTTATTAGTCTTATATTCTATATGTATTTCTGCGCATGCGCATGATATTTAATAATTAATTGAAGACTTAATTGTACTTATATACCTCCCGCAACGACTCACCTGTTTTTTTCCCGATACTCTTTCTGATATAACCGATCTTCGTTTTGCCTTACGTTAATCTTGATAAAAAAATACAATACTTAAAAAAAATAAAATAATAATACCTTTGTGTATTTAAATGTCTAACTGCTTGATAAAAAAAAATCACGAAATTAATCTACAATTAAATAGTTTAATATCATTTATTTTTAAATATTGAAATAATGTGCTTTCCTATTAAAAACGTTTCCATGTACCAACCTGCAATCTTGATTTGCTTTTATACGATTATGAAAAATCCAGGTGTTGTGCTTTTAAAAAATTACCTTTGTACACCCGAGGGTGAATATCCTCGTTAGGTTGAACCAATCACTTTTCTGCTAATAAGTCTTATAATAGACAGGTTTTCCTTTAATAAGAATATAAAAAAATCTGAACAAACCACGTTTTTTAAATTAAAATCTGTTTATAAAATAAATAGATGTCATTGACTTTACATAATATATTACCTATTTTATAAACGAGTTCGTTGCTTATCTTAGCGACGATTATAACAATTTCGACTTTATTTTATATGGTTAAGCATTTCTACGTAACTGATAAATAATTAGATAGAGGAGGATACATCAGCGCGGTGTTCATTTGATGGTGTCGACCTATTTTAGCTTTAGAGGTTCGGAAAGCTGCAGACGGACACGGAAAAGCGATAGATGTTCAAGGCTTTTCCATCTGTAGTCTGTGGTTCGTGACGCAGACGGAATTTCGATATTTCTACCATCCATTTAATATCTAGACGAAGTCTAACATGTTTTAAAAGAATGTGCAACGTATAAGGAAAAATAAAGTCTGTCGGGTCAAAAAAAATCATTATAATTATCACATGTTTTTTATTAAAATCACGACATTTAAAAATTATTATATGTTGATTCATTTCGGGAAGCTCAATTGGTCATTTTTTTTGTATTAATAAAACTTTCGTAAGTACTTATTTGTTTACAACCATTCTTTGTGGTTCTTCCTATATAATTATGGTATTATTGCGCCATATTTTTCATTCATTTAAAGAGATCATTGACCCTTTGCAGTAAAACCAGAAATACAAATTAAAGATTGGCTCCGCTTAGACCTGTTTCATTTGGTATCTGCTACTTATATAACACCTAAATATAGTATTATCGTTTTGTACATACATTATTTAGTAATTTTATATGCAAACAAAAAAAATACTTTAATTAAAATACTCTAATACTTTACTTTATTTTAGGTATTTGATATTAAATATGCAGCCTGCAAAGGCACTTTGCAAAACTAAAATTAAAGAGATACATGTGTGTATTAAAAAAGGCCAATATTTAATATATGCTTACTAAAGTAAATCTTTTACAAACAAGTCTATAAATAAAAAAATACAATTAATAAGAAATATTAGTAAAGAGTGTTACTCGTATATCGCTGTTAACGATTAAGACATTTATCAAATCATGGTTTTTATTTAAGAAAAACCTTTGTTTTTGTTATTTTTTGTTCCGTTAACATTCATCCTTGTAAGTAATTATTTCCGTTAAAAGGCATTTTAGGAAAAAAATATAAAATTAGTCTTGACTGTTAATTGTGAAGATCGTATTCTCGGATCTATGCACTAGTTATATTTCCGTTTTAAATTGACCGACATTTTCTTACTGCAACTTCCAAGATAAATAATTTTACTAATCATAAAATTCGTTACACGTTAGAATGGCCCTTTTTTTTGTTTTCTTTTGTACAGTCAAGGAACATATCATGCAATTAAATGCCACGGATTAGAAATTATAATTTATATTTTATTTATCAATTACCTTGCCCTGCATCGTGTTTTGTTTAATATCTGTTCCAATCATATTTTGTCCCATTAGCAAGTAATCCCTGCTCTATTCTACTTCCCAAATCTGGATGTATAATATAAAATATCTTCAAAGCTCTCTCCTGCAGGAATTTAGCAGCCGGGCCCAATCTGTACAAAACATTTTCCACTAATCTACTCCGTTCCTCCTTCGTCATTTCATTGATGTACAATTCCCTTGCCTGCTCGAAATTGTTTGGGTCTTCCTCGAAAATCTGTAGTAACTCGCCTCTTTTATGATCTTTATACGGCACAGGACCGTTGAAGGAATTCGGATAGTAATTAGGTATGTCCTTACCGTTGTCTTTTAATGGAGGTACACCATCTCTGTTATATTCCAACACTTTGGTTTGTATAGGACAATTCACTGGGATCCTATTGAAGTTCGCGCCTAAACGATAATGTTGAGCCTCCCTATAAGCTAATCTACGTCCTTCAAATAGCTTATCTGGTCCACCGAGGATACCAGGCACTAAGTTACCTGGACTGAAAGCTAACTGTTCTATTTCTGCGAAGTAGTTTACAGCGTTCTTATTTAAAACCATCTTTCCCACAGGATGCAAGGGATACTCATCTAGAGGCAGAACCTTAGTTACATCGAAGACATCTAGTCTGGCATTCTTCACGTCGTCCAGAGATAGGATTTGCAAACTAACCGTCCAGCTAGGAAAGTCACCGTTTGCAATTGATCTGTATAACGTCCTAGTATTGTAATCGGCGTCTTCTGAGCTTATTTTCTTCGCATCCTCAGATCGCAGGTTCTTGATACCAGCGTCAGGTACAAAATGGAATCTGACGAAGTATTTACTACCGTGTCCGTTCACCACTTCGAACGTATGTATGCCGAACCCAGGCATATGATGATAGCCATCTGGTATGCCGCGGTCTCCGAATACCAAGAGAAACATATGGAACGTCTCCGGTTGTAGAGTGAGGAAGTCCCAAAAGGAGTTAGTGTCGAACAGATTATTCGCTGGATTTTTCTTCAATGCATGCACAAATGTTGGGAAGATGACTGGGTCCTTGTAGAGAAACATGGGCGTGTTGAAGCCCACGATATCGAAATTACCTTCTTCGGTGTAGAATTTTACAGCGAAACCTCTGGCGTCCCTTGACGTGTCGCTTCCGCCGCGTTCGACAACGACAGGGGAGAATCTTGCTGCAACCGGGGTCTTCTTACCGACCCGACTGAATAGCTTCGCTTTGCAAATGTGCGTTATGTCATGAGTAACTTCAAAATAGCCAAAAGCACCGCCGGCTACAGCGTGGACTACACGTTCAGGTATTCTTTCTCTTACTGTATGAGTGAGTGAGTCCATAAAATATTCATTGAAGATAAGCCTAGAGTTTAGCGTGTTTGTGTCTTTGTGTTCCACTGGAGCTCCAGCGCTCGTTGTCATAATGCCTATGGGTCCCTGGGATAAATAAATATATTTGGTTTCTTCAAATTTCAAAATTGTTTATTGCACATAATAGATTAATAAATTATAAATTCAAACAAAATAAATAATATTGGGAAACGTCACTCATATTTAAATAAAACAGTTAAACTTTTTTGGAGATGATTAACATTTCGGATGCTTTGCAAGCACATATTACCTTCTCCCGTAGGTGATCTGTGTTTGCAACAGCCGTGGTCACGGGGAGACTGTTTTTGGTTTTAATCCGTTAAAGTGTTTTATTTAAATGTGGTCTACTTGCATAAACTACCTATGTACCTACAACAGACATAAAACCACGCTGATTTTAGTGTTTCAGGCTTGACATATAATAGAAGAGAAAGAATAATTAAATATCATATTACATTGTTTGTATGCAACATAATCTATGTTCAAATTAATGATTAAGAAAAAGTATACAAAATTAAAAACTATAGAATTGGGTTTGCAAGACTGTTAGTAATGTGTTTGCTTATCGCTTCCTCTCGTCCCTTTGAACTTTTATTTGATATTTCAGTATACTATATGGAATGTTGTTAAGTTAATTAGCTTACTGATGTCTTCTCCTTGAACATAATAAGCTGATTCGCCGCGGGATCATTTTTAGCACTCACTAAATTATATATCACCACTAAACTTACAAGAGACCTGTACATTTTAATTAAATTTAAATCACATTTTTGCCCAAAGTGCAACAACTGTATTCTTTGTCAGTGATTGGCTTTATAGAGATCTATTCATTGTAACCTTGCTTTTGAACTGACCAAGTTACAGTATTGCAAAATTGCCAAAAAAATTGATTGATTCTACGCCTTAAATGTATTTGTAGCTGAATAGCGAAAACTTTCATATTTTTGCACATGTTATTGCGAATAACAGGATTATATAGATTAAAAATCGACATCGAAGCGGTAGCTCAATTGGTTAGAGCAAAGCTGTGGATACCGGTTCAAATCCTGCCCGTATTGTATTTTTTATGTTAAATAGATTTTTAATCTGCCAAGAATCATTTATGTTTGTATATACTATAGAGAAACTGATTGTATTCAAACTCTCTTCCTTAGTTTGGTCAACAACTACATTCTTGTTTAGGGATTATACACTTTTTAAAAGTTACTCCAGGTTTAAAGTAAAACACTGAGACAAATATGTTAGAAACAAACGACAAAAAAAGAAATGAAAGTAATCATTCATGGGACGCGAGTTCGATCCCCATTGGGTTTAATATGTGTTCAATCAATTTATAATTTTCCTGGAACACGTTTGTAAATCTGAATATTAATTTGGATGATGGGAAAATTCATTAAAAAAACTCGTGAAGTTTAACCAAAGTTTGGGTTTCATTCGGTGGATTCCCGAATACCCAAAGCCAAAATAGAACGACAGCGCATCATCTTGAGATGATATATTATGACTAAGATATTTCAACGATCACTAAATAAACCTCATTTATATAGAAAATTGAACATATAAGCAAATATTACTATAAATGTGTCCGTCGCAATGATACATTTAAAAATAAACTTAATAACCAACATTATTTTTAATTTATCATGCATGAAGACGTCAAAAAGCTTTTTTAAAAGCAAATATCTTACTATACTTCTAATCCTTCTTGAATATCTGCAAACTTTAAAAACATTGAAACAAAATATAGAGAGTTGAGTAGAGCAGCAAAACATTACGCAGTGAATTCCGGCCCAGTTGTATATTTTTATCTAAATAGATTTTTAATTTAAATAAAATATTTATAATACAGTACATCGGGCAACAACGACCGGCCCGTGACTCAACGATTAAGTGTAAGAGGTTAAAAAAAATACTTTGTCAAACGAACAAATATAATAATTAAGGTAAAACTCTTTAAGGTTCTTGGTTCGAATGCGGGCAATATTTCGTCACGTGCCGTTGATTAATATCGTTAAGTAGAACGGACAAAGCAACGTGCTTGCCCCTTGTCCTACAGAAGCTGAAGCGGGGTCCACATAATTGCTTAACTTAAACTCGTACTTTATTTGTACGATTAACATACTGAGCTAATGAAAAATTTCAGTATCACAAATTATATTCATTAACCGACTGTGACGAACACAAGCAAAGCAAAAACTAAGTGATTTTTACCACTTGAAGGGTGCACGCGATTGTTTTACAAATCAGTTAGTATTCTTACGGAATTGTAAAGTTAGGATTATTCGAGACATAAATTAAATACTTTGCGAACCTTTTATCACAAAAGTCGATAGACAAATTTCGTGCAATTTGTTTTATCGATTTGTTATGGCTTACACGAACGTAATGTAAATATTCCGTAATGGACCACATTCACGTAGTTCGCCAGAATATATTGAATACCAACTTACATACTATAAAGCATTTGTTGAGTAAATTGTTACAGTAAAGCGTTAGATTCTTTGTTCCATAACAACTTGTGGCAAGCCCTAGTTGAACAAGGGATCGAACACAAATACGTTCGAATACAACTTGAAAGAAAGGGCCCTCCGTTCAAAATTATGAGAGGCGTGAGACAAGGCGACCCATCATCTCCGAAACTATTTTCAGCGGTCTTAGAATCAATTTTTAGGGAAATCAACTGGGAAGATTTGGGCATTAAAGTAAACTAACTCATTTGAGATTCGCTGATGATATTGTATTGTTTGTTACAACATCGGAAGCGATCAATATAATGCTTGAAGACCTCACGTTGCCTGCAAGGACTGAAACTCAACCCAGAAAAAACGAGACTGATGACCAATGGAGTACAAGATAAAATAAAAATAGAAGAAGTAGAAATTAAATACACAGAAGAATACATTTATTTGGGTTAGCTTATAACTCAAAAAAGAACCTATACTACAAGAAATAAACAGAAGAATTACACACGGATGGAAAAGATACTGGAGCCTGAGAGAGCCAATGAAAAATAAAAACTTCATACGAATATCAAAAGCAAATTATAATAATAATTTATTTTTCGACACAATACACAAATTACAATTAATTAATTCTAAAGTGTGTAAGTTGGGTTGGTAACAGTTTTTAACTTAAAATGTATATTAGAATGTGTTAGTCACTAAATTTAAGTAGACAGAATGAATTATACAGAGTATGGACAGAGTATACAGGGAGCATGGACGTCACTCCCATCGATTTAGCAGCACCGTATACTTTTCACACAATGCCCCCAGAATGCCATTGGTGCTTTGTCGAACTCGATACATGAGGGAAGCTACACGCTTGCGGATGATGGCGTGGAAACCATCCGTGCGTGCATCCTCAAACATGCCCGGCGCAATACAGTATCTTAAGCCCAATAACGACCTGAAAACATTGTTATATTGCACACAAATAGCATTCAATGATCTCTGAGTAAAGGACTCCCATAAGCTACACGAGTAGAATGATTGGCAGTAAGCCTTAAATAAGACGATTATGACATCGTTTGAGCTTCGTGCAAACCTCCGGGCCAACATGTTACCCCCTCCATTCTCTCTCCAGATCAGCTCCATCCGAAAGGCCCTCCGTGACACAATGACCTAAGTACTTATATTTAGTTACTCGTTGTTGTGGTACACCGTTGAGCATTATTGCAGGAACCACGCCTATCTTATCACCGCGCGGTTAAAAAACGAGTAACTTACTTTTGGCTGTATCTTGTATCTTATTTGGCTATATATATATGGTCAGACCATGAGCATCAGCAAAGTCTTCACAGATTTTTAATAGCTTTCGGATGGCGTTCACCGAAGGAGCTAGCAACACCATATCATCAGCATAATTAATCTTGTTCACACTTATTCGATCTATTGAGCAGCCTACACCACTGCTCCTAAGACGCTCTATGAGATCGTTGACGCTTGAAAAAGACAGGTAGATGTCAGAGGAAAAGAGAAATGGAATAAGAAAGTAACAGAATGGTATCCCAGGGAAGGGAAAAGGAAAAGAGGAAGACCTCGGAAAAGATGGGAAAATGACATTTGGAAAGTGGCCAGAGTCACTTGGAATAGAGTAGCCCAAGATAGAAAGGAGCCTTTGCCGATCCGCACACGGATCTATTATAAAAACAGAATAGATAGAAAACTAGTACAAAATAAACATTGTAAACATTTAAAATTGTAAATTCCAAAGTGTAGTATTCGTAATAAAAGGCTTTTTTTATTTTATTTATTATGGATGTTCGTAATTTCCGGCTCAAAGGACCACATTGTATGCACTTAGACACTCTTAAATTTTAGCTAAACCTTCAGTTTTGTGTGTATGGTAAGATGTGCGTGACATTTTTAAAATAAATTAGTGTTCTACATTGAAGGAGGATATAAGTACCGTCCGATAGGATAGGAGTACCGTCAAAATAAGTTTACGCTGTGCTGATGTAGGAAATAAATTCTATTCACACGAGAAGACATAAGTGATACTTAGAGAAGAGAGAAACTATAAGTCGAGAATGTGATTTAAAAAAAAACTAAGTAGTATTTTATGTACAATGTTGTCACAGACCTTAACCTTAAAGTTTACAGTAGGCCAATAAAGAAAATCTATGTCACCAGGGCCGAATACTTTTTTTACTTGATTCTAAGCGATTGATCATTCTTAAACCATTCTCTGATGGACTTAAAGAATGTATTGTCAAGTGTAACAGTATAGGTGTCGTTCTAAACCAGAAAAGTGAAATCCGTTTTCTTTTCATGGCGAACAAAACAAAAGGCGAAACAATTCTGAGTCTGTTTCATTGATCCAAGATGAGTCTAATATGTTTTTGAACCCAAGATCTATCACGATTTGTATCGCAATTCTTCGCATTGCGTTAATCATTAAACCACGAAGGCGGTGTTAAGAAAAGTAGTGTTAATAAAATAATATACTTACTTAAACACTTATAACGAGATAATAGCATAAAGTATATAAGAACTACAACTCACGCAAACCATTGGCAATATTTTTTTAAATTTTTTACGCGGACAAAATATGTCTGAATTGAAGTGTAACTGGAGTAAACGTTTGTTCAGAGAAATTAAAAAAAAATGAAGTAGGATTACAAAGCTATATGGATGGCCATGGTAAAGACCTTTGTCGAAGGACACAGTACTACTAGTGTATAAGTTTAGTATAATCGTATCAATAAAGGCTTAATCCAAGTACGTTTATACAATTCTAAAGACAATACCTTTTCACATAATCTACATTGTTATAAGTTAGTAATATTACGTTCGACATCTGGATAGTACTTACTCAATTAGATAGTGCAATATTTTCTTGCTTGGTTAACTTCTTACTTAATAGCTACTGAACCGGCACTATATATTCTTTGAATTATAACAATGATTACAAATAATTATTTCATCTTTTTCAATTCCCACTGAACGTTTAGATTTTGTCCTGTTTGATAATTTATTTGCAATAATTAAATGCATCAGCTACGGCGTAAACAGTTAAATATAAAATTCAAGCAATTCCAGATGTAAGCACCCATAAAGGTACCGAATGTAATGTAATGAAAGGATTGAGATAAAAAAATGAAACATGCACATTTATTTTATTTTCTATATTCTGTATGATAACGTGTCACATTCGACAACAGACCCTGTTCAACTCTACTTCCAAGATCGTGGGATACAATTGAGAGCAATTCCACGGCTCTCTTTTGAAGGAATTTCGTCACAGTGCCCAAGCTATACAAAATGTTATCCACCAATCTCTCTCTTTCACCAGCACTCATCTCTTTCTCATATAATTCTCGCGCTTGATCGAAATTATACGGTTCGTGTTCAATTATCTGAATCAACTTGGAATTTTCCACGTAAGGAACGGGGCCGTTGAATGAATTCGGATAATAATTCGGCACATCCCTTTCGTTCTCCTTCACTGGCGCTTCACCATCACGATTGTACGTTAACGATCTGAACGGACAGTTAACGCGAATTTTATTGAAATTAGCCCCAAGTCGGTGGTACTGCGCGTCCCTGTACGCCAAGCGGCGCATCTCAAATATTTTATCAACCCCACCTAATATTCCAGGCACCAAGTTAGATGGACTGAACGCCAGCTGTTCCACCTCAGCGAAGTAATTTACCGGATTACGATTTAACACCATCTGACCGACGGGATGCAAGGGATATTTATCCAGTGGTAAAGTTCTGGTCACATCGAACACGTCTATATCGGCGTTCTTCACATCTTCCATAGATAATATTTGCAAAGAGACAGACCAAGATGGATAATCGCCCCTCTCGATAGCTCTGTACAAGTCTCGTATGCTGTAATCTGTGTCTTCGCTCGAAATCTTCCGCGCCTGTTCAGACGTCAAATGCCTGATGCCTCCGTTTGGCAGGATGTGAAATCGGGCGAAATAATACTCGCCGTTTCCATTCACAAACTGGTAAGTGTGTATGGAGAACCCAGGCATGTATCTATAGCCATCTGGGATGCCTCTGTCTCCGAATACCCTCAAGAAAATGTGCAAGCTTTCCGGTCGAAGCGTAACGAAATCCCATAGCATATTCTCATCAAATAAGTTAGTGGCCGGGTTCCGTTTCTGAGTATGGGTGAACATGGTGAAATCTATAGGATCTTTGATGGAGAACATTTCAGTGTTGAAGCCTAGCATGTCGAAATTACCGTCCTCTGTGTAAAATCTCACCGCGAAGCCTCTAGCATCTCGCATCAGATCGTTTCCCCCTCTTTCGGGGTTTATGGGCGAAAACCTGGTTGCTATTGGTGTCTTCTTTCCCAGTTCACTGAAGACCTTAGCCTTGGTGATGTGCGTTATGTCATGGGTGACCTCAAAGTATCCAAAAGCGGCCGCACCTTTTGCATGAACGACCCTCTCTGGTATTCGTTCACGAAAAATGTGTGTGATCGAATCCAATAAGTATTCATTGAAGAGTAACCTTGTGTTGAGTGTACTGGTAGTTTCACGTAAAGGAACCGGTACTCCATTACTGGTGGTCATAACACCAATTGGTCCCTGTAAAAGTAAGAATATAATGGTAAGAAGATAAAAGTCGACAATTAACATCAATATGTCATTTAAATCAAGCACTTTAACTGGCCGGCCTGTTTCTGTAAGGACACGGTCAGTTATGCCAAATACCAACTTCGACAGAACAGATGGCGCTAGTGTAGCAATTTTTACTTTGACGTCAGAGACATCGTTCGTCTTTAGTCTCCCCGTGACCACGGCTGCTGCAAAGCACCCAAAACGTCGGGCCGAAGTTAAAAATAATTAGTTTAACTAAAAACGTGTACTACTACAGACAGTACCTATATATCATCTTAAAAAAATAGAAGTAGGCTTGTCACAAACCCAAATTATTTATTTAGTGAACTAAAATGTTAAATAGAACGTTTTTATTATTTATTAATATGAAGAAATATTATTAAAAACAACAAATTGCAAACAAATTTTAAATATTTAATGATGTAGATTGCAGACGAACTTGTAATAGAATTACAATACCTTCGTCTTCTCTCTAAACACCTCGATTTGCTGTGCAGGATCATCATCATAGGCAACCACTAGCATAGAAAATAGTAAAACAATAAACCAAAACATCTTTGACTATGTATTGCAAATAACGTTTAGTCGATACTGAATGGCTTCTTAATTAAGTTTCACTCATAATTGTAATTAAAGTTATTAATGTGAATTATCGTAATCTATCTTTAATTTCGTTAATTTTTTTAGAAGGGCGCATTGAATAATTAACTTTGTGTTAGTGTATAATACAATAATAGACCGATAAAAAATTGTAAGTTAGGCTTATGCAAGAACGATATTAATAACTTAATTACTATATATTACAAAACAAAGTCGCTGTCGCTGTTGCTCTGTCCGTCTACTTGAATCTTAAAAACTACGTAATGTTATATCATAATAGCATTTTTAAGAGATAGAAAGATTTAACATTATATCTATAAGACATGCGTAGTATTTTAGAGAAACATTGATAAAGTTACAGGTTTCTAATGTAATGTCGTAAATGAATACATTTATTATGCTTTCATTGCAAACGCTGATTGAATCCCACGATATGTATCAAAATAATATACACAATTGTCCGCCTTAAAAGGGTAAACAAATTATGCGATGGTATTTGTCTATCTCTTAATGATGTCCCCTAATTACCCCTTTTGTTATTTTATTACACCCATGCGAGACCGGGCCCGGTCACTAGTGGAGTGATAAAATTTGCACAAAGTTTGCACATAATCAGTTAATTCGGCTTAACATGATAATACACGAGTTACAATTTTTTAAACAAAATAAAGCCTGGAAATTTTTAAAAGCAAAGTGTTCTGTTGTGTACTTGGTATAAATAAAAGCGTATCGTCAATTCATAGGTGATTAATTATTATTGTTTAGCCATCGATCACTAATAAACTAGTACAACAATCAGTAGCAAAAATCGTCCTCACTGAAAGAGCCCGTTCGAACATTTGGATGCTCTTTTAGTTTAGTAGCATTCCTACTTGCCGCGCGTAATGTTCCTCAGGGCTCGTTTAAAAAGAGTAAAAATCAGACCTCCAGGACGCTGAAAAAGGATGGAATTTCTTATTTTCGGTAAGTATTAGTATAATCATTATTTAATTGTTATCACTGTATGGTAAATACTAATATATTGTACTTAAAAACACTTTTTTTAGTTCAATCGTAATAAATAGCAGAAGTTGTAAGCCGTCTCAATTGTGTAGGTAAATATCAAACCCCGATAAGTCACACCCATAGTCGAAACTGAACTATGAATGGCGCTAAATTTGAAATTACTTGTTTTTATGATCTTTATTCCAAATCACGGTAAGTCCCCAAAAAATACTAAAACGAAGGTTAAAATCGACATTTATTTCAAACTGCGGTATGTCTATAGAGTTAAAATCAAACTCAAGTAAGTCCACATTGACCACTCACAGCAAATTATAGCGTCAAGATGGCTGTTAGTTAGAAGATTGTTGTGAGAACTTACACTTCGTTGTCGTCTATTAGATTGTTTGGGGAAAATCATAAACAATGTAAGAATTTGTGTGCTGAATCCTGAAAAAGCAAAGAAGATGTATGTGTCAAATGTTAAGAAGAATAATGTCGAAAAGAAGGCTAAAAAGTAAAACAAACCTAATAATAGTCGTTTGTTGCAACCGTTAACGTTTTGAAAACCAGGGTTGTACAAATGTTAAAGAATTAAACATTTAATTTATATTTTTTTTTCTATTAAAATGTATGTATGTGTGTGTGTATCATTTAAAAGGTTCTTTCCATTTTGAGATAAGTAAATATTGTAAACGTATTATCGAATACGAACGTATAAACGAAATAGTGCTTCGTTATTAGAAAAAGGAAAAGTATGATCAATATTCATACTCAAATGATTGACATAGTTCCTTCTATAACATTAGAAGATATAAAAAAAATATTTCAAAACATTTGGCACTGACTGGTATCACATCCCTCAGTTGAAATATTATACAAATATCTTGCAAAGTAACAGAACTAGTTGGTGACAGGGAAGAAGACATAATAAATAATCATGGACGAGATCTTAGATTTGTTTTATTAATCTACTAAATTAAACTACTACATGGTAATAAAAAAATCTGTGTTTTATTTTACGGTTTAGTAAAATATTATGATGAAGCAACCCAATACGGGATAAATAGGATTTGTCAAAACAAGTAAGTCCTGTACTTTTTTCAATACCCGTTACGTCCATAGTGGTATTTTTCAAACTCCGAATAATGCTTTTAGTTTCAATCAAACAAGACATGTCCAAACTTTAACATGGTTTTAAAGCATAATATCTTATTAAAACTTTATTTTTATATATTCCTATACTCACTACCTATATAAATCCCCAATTGCTGAAATTTCCATGAAATACAGTAATCAGTAGCTAAAAACACATTTCCCAAGTTTCGTTTATGGTGGACTAGTGATTGATATTTGCCTACACAATTAAAAAGATTGTAACAGTCTTTTTAATTGAGACTATTAATTCATACTAAGCACATGTCACTTTAATTGGTCGGGTTACGTGTGTTGACTCTGTTTTGTTTGTTAAAGACGCTATTTTATTTTTATGAATTTTTGTATGAATATATATATATGATGAAATATTGGAGATACATTTAAATAAATTTAAATACATATGTGCATGTAAAAAACTTAAATATTTGATTTTTTAGCTTGTTTTTTACCTTGCGATCCAGTAAGATGTGGAGAATGGAAATCAGAAATGTAGCTGGCAAGGTGCGCTCTGCTGCTTACGCTGTTAAAAAGATTCGACTTACAGATCGATCGTTCAAATTACAGATATCAAGACTGCTAAAATTGTCTACTTTGCATACTTCCACAGTGCTATGGCATATAATGGAAGCAGCATCTTCATTCATATTGTTATAATCTGTGCCTAATATTTTACTGTCAATTGTCATCAGTCGAATGTCATGTCAAACCAACCAAATCAAGTGTCAGCTGTCAATATTTTAATAAAAAATACATTCACATTTCACGCGTTCAAATCTTATTTTTATCCCAATAAAACTCAAGTTAAAAGAATGGTAAATTTCTGGGCCATATTTTAGACTATTCGTGTCACACTTAAAACGGCAATAGTGTATACAGTGACATCAGACAAATATGGCAAGGTCGTCGAAGGATGATGCGAGATTTAGCGAGACTGCATGGAATTATCACGCTGAAACCGGTGAAGTAAATAATGTGAACTCTACGTTATCGCATAACACAAATATTCTAAATGAAAGTCTGTACACCAACGCGAATTTTAATAAAGACGCTTACCAGAATCAATACAACATGCAAGCGGCAGACATAGCGCCTAATAAGGAGGAAAATATTCCATTTACCGCGATGCCCAATGTAAATCGCGTTTCGAGGCAGGGCTACGGCAATGCAATGCTTAATCTAGGTAACGGACAACTGGTTCGCGTTTTTTATGACGAGAACAATCAACAGTTGATTTTCCCTATGTCTGGTCAGTATGAATTATTCAGTAACAAGCAGGGCTTATGCGATGTCCCTCTACAATCTACTCAGCCTCCACACATGTTTACTTTAAACCAAGAATATAACATGGGACATCCAATACAGTCTTCGACGGCTACCATTCAAAATGCTGCCTTTAACCAAGAATTGAATCAGGCAGCCAATCAGCCAACTTCTAATTTTTTAAAGGATGTTTTAGGTAATTGGGAACCTAATTCAAGCGGTACTTATTCTCCGTTTGGCCAAAATTACCCTTTAAACCACCCAGATGCACCATTAAACATACTATCTAATACAAATAATCACATGAATGAGGTTAATACTCAAATAAGGCAAGATCTGTCTCCGAAAAGGAATGAGACCAGTCCATTGGCTGATACTAGTACTAAGAAGCGTATAGTTGCTGAAGTAAAGCCTATGCGTCCCAGCTACTCTGATGTTCTAAGTAAAAATACAAAGAACACTTATACAGATACAACTACCAAGGCAAAGCCTAATGATAGTAAACCCAGTAAGCCCAACAAATCTGATAAACCATACCCAAAAATTCAAAGTGAGAAAATTAAAGGAGACAAAAAGCAAAATATCCCATCATCCGGCAGCGACTCAGGTGATATCAATATAGAGGACATTGATAAGCATCAAAAACCTAGCAAAAAATCGAAAAAACGTAACATGTCTCGTAAATGGTCATCCTTTGAGGATATAAGTGTGGAAGACCAGCACTCTACTAACCAAACAGAGAGTCAATTTGTCTTCATCAAGAATCAGGTTGATAAACCAAAAAAGGAAAAACGAGAGAAGCCTAAAGTTTCGGAGCCTGAAGAAGATAAGAAAGATGACTCTGAGTTTGTGCTACAGGATGAGGTTAATGATGTTAAGGCAAAGAAGAAAAAAGAACCTCGTAGTTACCATAAAGTTAAACCAGTAAAAGATAAAAAGACACCTATACAAACTAAAGTGAGACGTAACAAGCCAGGATATCTTGGTTTAGCACAGAATTACCTTGAGCATTGGGGAGGTGCAACATGGAAGGCTCTTGTTTGGTTCGTCTATCTATTGTCAGATGTTTGTCACATGAGCCTGCATCTTTCTTTTGACCTGTAAGTTAATGATATGACATATATAGTGTACAGTAAAAAAATATTTTTTTTATAAGAATTTTAGTTTCATACTGTTTTGCTGGCTAGAGGTCTCCTTTCTCTAAGTTATAACTTAGTCTGCTTCTTCAATGCAGGATGAAGAACTTTAAGAACTACCAAGACATTTCCTTATAAGTCTATTGGGCTTTTGTCTGTGATCAAATATGAATGATTATCTGTTTTTATAACACTAATTGTGTAGTTACTTATCCAGCAACTCTGTACAGCATATTCTTGTTTATATTCCAGATGCACCTCGGTATTTACTCAGTCCTACGTTAGCTGCCAAGCAGTGTGGAGGAGCAGTAAGGATTGGTTTTCCAAATTGCGTGACAACAAATATCTCTTGTACATAGACAGAAAATTCGGACACACCAGATTTGCATTCTGGAGAAAATTGAAATGGCTTCGAAAAGGTAATTAAGATATGTAGTTTATTTTACTGAAACTAGACTGGTAGTTATATAACATTTTTTTAGGTGTCATTTTTAAAGCACATGCAATGCAATGCAATACCTGGAGGACAAATAATTTTCCCCATTTTTTCCATATTGCCCACTGTCTCTTCGCTCCTATTGGTTGCAGCCTAAAGTCTTCCTCAATAAATGTCCCACCAACACAAAAAAAATTAAGTTCCTGAGATTAGCGCAAACTCATCAGCTTTATAATTAGTATATATATGAAATTATCAACAAACAAACATTTATTAATAATTCACTATGTAAATCTATATATCTTTAAATATCTACAATATAAAAATGCATCATCATGTGGGATTACTACAAAATGTGCTTGTTTATAATATGTAACCAAGATAATGTTATCTTGCTCTCACAATAAATATGAAGTAATAAAAGTCACATTATCTAATCAACTAAGGATTGTTCCTAGTGACAAATGAACAAATGGCCTGTGTTTTGTATGATCCGTAACATTGTTGTGACAAGAATTTAGTAATACTTATTAGTATATTTGTTATGACGTTACTTAAACTATACATGTCTCTTTCTAATATGTCCAATTTATGTGTCGGAGGAAGACAACACAGATAGGTTTAATGGGATGTTTTCTATTTTTTTATATATTAAAGTTGTTTATTTCCAGCGTTATATTAAAACAGGCTGTGTCAGTGACTTCATTTGTGTAGAATAGTTATTTTAGACAACAAAATTTGGTTTTGCGAACCTGCCTATTTTTATAAATATTAGCTGTTACCTACGACGTCGTCCGCGTACCGTCGTTCTTGCAAGTTATTCTTAAAGAGAAATCATTATTTTTATACATATTTTTTGAGGTATCTTGGAAGTCTTCGAGGCGCGTGCAACGGAAACCTACAAAGATGAATCATTTTTCCACATTTCCCACTGTTTCTTTAGACCTATTGGTTGCAGCGATAAATGTTCAAACACAAAAAGAAATTTTCAATTCGGACCAGTAGTTTTTGAGATTAGCGCGTTTAAACGAATAAACAAACTATTTAGCTTCATAATATTAGTATAGAAGAATTATTTATTTTCAGCGTCAATAGTTATTTAAAAAATCATAATTAATCGCTAATCACTCTATTCTCAATGTGTTTGTGGTTTACGCCAGCGGTAAACATTAAATAAAGTAATTATTATCTTAACTCCTAGCATTTAAAGCTATAACTGATATCGTTTTTATAAATTAACACTCTAAAAATACATCAGGTACCATATAAACTTAGTGGTTAATATAAATCTACCGTCTAAAAGGTTCAATTATTTCACAAGTAAGTTGATTCTTGCCTGTTTATTTTTTTTAGTTAATCGTTTTTGTCCAAAAATTAAGCATATAATGGTTGATTCTTAAAACAATGATTTTATTATTTTGCAGATAAGGATAACGATGACAGCGAAACAAACAAGCTGAACTCGAATATACCACTGCCAGGGACAGGGGAGGAAGCAATGAAAAGGTTACTTGCCTGCCAAGGGAAAGATCCATATAGGTATGCCTAGCAGAAACACAGATAAAAGCGAAGAAACTAAAATCAGTTTTTGATAACGTAGTTAAGTCCTACCTAAGACCTCTTTTCTCTATTAAGTATTTTTTTATTCCCTTTGTTGCAGCATTCTAGGTGTAAGCGAGACATGTACAGACGATGATATAAAACGTTTCTATCGGCGACAGGCGTTCCTCGTACACCCGGACAAGAATCAACAGCCCGGCGCTGAGGAAGCATTTAAAATACTTCAACACGCTTTCGACCTTATTGGGGAGCCGGTAAGGCTATTATCCCATGTATTTTTTATAAATTTGACTATGCACTTGTAAAATGGGTGTATTAAAAGGTTCTTCTAGGTCCTGATGATATAATAGGGATATGATAGGGCAAGTCATAATTTTAGTGTAGCTAAACTATTAATAATTTAAGACTACTGTATTTTTACATGGGATGACGGAAATACACAAACAAGTAGGTGAGATTTTTTATCAAAATTTGTTAATCAAACGATTGAGCATCTAAAGAATAAATACACAATAACTTGTTACTAAAAATACTTCACTAAAATAAGATAAGAAATGTAGGGTTTTGTTAGAAAGCAAGATGGTTTGCTTTCTAACAAAACATTTACCTTTTTGGTCCTTCGAGCCAGTTTACAATATGCATTTATATAGGAACGTCGGGAAGAGTACGAGAGGAAAGCGCAGGAGTCTCGACACGTAGAAGCTGCGTGGAGTGAGGTCAGTGACCTGATAGCGCAGTTGCACGATAAAATGGAGTTTGCTGCTAATACTATCAGGTGAGAAGAAAACTTCTAATATGGCTGGGAAAGGAAAAATAGTTTAAAACATACTAATTTAGCTGCTTTAGTTTTTTTAATGGATAAGTGAAAGTCCTTCCTTTATGCTCTCCTGACATAATAATCATTGTCAAACAAGCCAGCTAAGGTACAAATCACATAAATCGAATTCATGACCATGATTTGCCATACATTCCTATCTAAATCATTAGCATCAACATTGTAATTGTATATTTCTTTCTTCTTCATCAAGTGATAATATTCCACGTTCATTGTTTCTAGATGTACAAACTGCGGTCGGCGACACAAACGCGTAGCAACAGATAGGCCGTGCTACGCGGCGCGGTACTGCGCTCAGTGTAAAATACGACACTCCGCTAAGGAGGTGAGAGAAACGCATTTTTTTTAAAGAAAGAAGAATAGAATTCCAGTTTAAAAGCTTTCTATTTTCTAATAGGCGTTGTTTTTATCTCTGTAATGAGGGAACAATCATTTTTTTTTTTTTTGGACGGACTCTTACGTATTGTGTTCCCGAGGAGCCACTAATACTAACCGGGCGTATTGGGCGAGCGCGATAGCGCTCGCCGTGTTTTACGGCTAAACCAAGGGTGCCCCGAGGGGGGGCATCGGCCACGGCTTGGACAGCCGCAGGGAACAATCATGCCCAAACTCTTATCTAGGGGTAGCTTTTTTTTATTGGGGACGAAGATACAAGGCCAAGTGATCAGTAGATTATTTGTTAACCATTTCCGCAATAACGGAAGATGTTGGGTTATCAAACTCTCAGTGTGTTCCCTTCAAACCTTCTGGTATCTTTGCAAAACCTTAATATTTGTTCCATATTAGTTTTAATTTTTCAATGTCACTTTTAGTAATTTAATAATTAAAAATTTGCAGACTTAAATCTATACTTATATACATCACCTCTCCCAATGTAATTTCTACCTTAACACTTGCGTATTAAGCTCAATGTTTATCTTTGCACTTAAGAAATATTAAATGAAATTACAAAGTTATAACTTTGAAAACATTAATATTTTTCACATGTTATTCACATAAGGCACTATATAATTTAAAAATCGAAAATAAATTGAAAAAATTTTCGACTCGGCAGGATTGAACCGGCTAGCTGACGATGCCGGTTCAAGTCCTGCCCAGTGAAAATTTTTTCAATTTATTTTCGATTTTTAATTATATAGTGCCTTCATGTGCAATAACATGTGAAAAATATTAATGTTTTCAAACTTTTGAGTACATAGTGTATTCAGCGAGTAGATGGATGCTTGTTTGATACCAAAGAGACAACAAGGCATACTATACTACAATATAAATAATGTGTCCACCTAAATATCGATTTACATGAGAGCTCATCATCTCCCCCCTCCATTTCAAAATGAAACATCAACAATTTTGTATTGCAGGGTGACATTTGGGCAGAGTCCAGCATGTGGGGCCTGCTAGTGATGTACTACGCGTGCATGGACGGTGCGGTGTATCAGATAACGCAGTGGGCGACTTGCCAGGTGTGTATACTTTGTTATAACGTATAATATAAGCTTGATTATTTTACATTGTCCCTAGTAGTTCACTTACTGATGACAGAGGACCAAACTAGTTCCCTTCCTCGGTCAGAAGGGAACTAGTTTAGACAGTCACTGAATAACTGTAAATTATAAAGTTTTAAGTTAATTAGCATTTCGTTGTAATATATATCACGAACATAATCTTAAAGGTAGGTACAGTCAAAAAATATGTTTATATCAGGATATATTTGCAGTAAATTGTGTATAAATTAACAGAAGAAGAACTTGAAGCAACTGCGCGCGGACTGTCACATCGTCCAATACCGGATCGTGCTCGGGAACAAAGCGGCCGCAGCGGACCTCAGCCACAGACCTTCCACTGGGTAAAGTCAAGCCTGCACCTTCATAATTCTCATTAAAAGACAAGGACTAGTTCATAAGACTTCTTTATCCTACTCTGTGCCCTTAAAAACCTGATCCTATTTTATCTATCCTTTTGATATTTTTATGTTTTTTAACTTCTTTAACTTGCTGGAATATCCTCAATACAAGTTGTAATTTTATTATCAAGAGATAGACAATAAACATATTTCTTTACTGACCTCTCGCTCTTAGCTAATTACAATATAATGCGTCAAAGTGAAGGTTTATTTTCATTAGTCAAAACGAGCTTGATTACTATCAGAAGATCTACTACATCTTCAACAGGTATCTCGAATCGTTGAATGGTTTTTGAAAATGTTACGTTAGCGGTAATAGCTTTTAATCAATAATAATATTTATACTAGTATTTTTTTCAGGCACGAACCGAACCTAGAGGAGTTTTTGAACAATCTATACAATAAGACAGGTGTGACAACAAACACTGCCAACCCGAAACAAACTACCACCGAGACAGCTGATGCCAAAAAGCGACGCAGCAAAAAAACTAAAGCCTAGAACCGTTGCCTTTGATCATACTTTGACTCCTATGTACTTGAATGATTTTAACTTGGACATAAGATGTAAATTGAAAAGTGTTCCCAAAATATTGAAAATATTGCACAGGCGAAAGTAGTAGCCACGCCCAGCGTACCGTTAGCTCCGCCTCTCTCGCCGATTTTTAAATCCTTAAAGCCTAATTACATTTTATCTGTGAAACAGTTAAATACTGTCTATAGTTTACGCGAGTATTACACATTTAAATAAAACAATTTAACGGTTTAACGCGATGTATTCACGGGGAAACTCCCCGTGACCACGGTGACCACGGTGCTGCAAAGCATCCGAAACGTCGGGCCGAAGTTAAAAATCATTTTTCAAATAAGTTTAACTAATATATCGTGTTTTAAACCGTTAAAGTGTTTTATTTAAATGTGAAACAGTTGCCTTCGAAAAATTTTATTGCAGAAACATAGCAGTCTCAACGCTACTAGCTCGAATTTTTAGCTCACAATTTTTTTATAATCTAGAAATCAATCTCGATTCTAGTTCAAGAACTTAATTTAAACGGCGATTTGCAATTTATCGTCATTTTAAAATTGGTGATGACGACTTATCATCAGTTTTTTAATGTAGATGATATTTTGCACGAGCTTATTTGAGAAAAATCCTTTACCCTCAGTTTTTTATGTTGCATATTTGCACACCAATTACAATTTTTCCAATTAATATTGAAATGTATATTATAAATAAAAGACCAATTTTTGCGTATAATTGAGATGGATTGAAGTTTTGAGTCACTTTCGTTAAGTACCAATATCGAATAACTAAGTACCAATATAATAATAATTTTACTGAAGCCTAGTCTTCAAAGCAATTTTTTATCGTTAATTATGATTGCTAGTAATAATGTTTTTAATTTATAATGATGTCTCGCAAACAACATTTGAAAGGGTCCGTTTAAGTATTATGTATATTTTCCCTTTAGCTTTTAAACAAATTAACGCCTTTTCAACATAAAGAACAGGACGTGTGTTATAAAATATTATTTTTTATTAGGATGTAATTATCATGTAGACCACACAACAAGAATTTCTTCAAAACTAAGAATACAAAAACCTTCTACCCCTTAGAGGGTTGGGGGGGGGATATATACGTCATAGTTCAACGGCCCCAAACCACAGTTCGTAGAATTGTTCTCTATTTTTTTTTATATGAAGTATGCAATATTTATGTTTAAAACCAAAGGTGTCAAGTACGTACTTTTTAACGATTTTGATTTGTTAGCTAATGTTTAAGTTTTAAATTTGCTTAAAATACTTGTCGCCTATCTGTACAATTTTGTTGTTATTTGTCAAAATATCACTGTGAAGTTAAATTTGTTTCAATACTCAAAATCAAATGTCGCTTCGAGTGCCTCGTGTGTATTTTTTAATGTCCTTTTATAATTAATAAGCTTGAGTACCTAACAAGTGTAACATGCCATTTTGGGTTTCCATTAGAAATCTGTCAATTTCTTTTGTAAGTACAATCAAATTAGCTTCCAGACGTTTTTGCATCTGTAGTAGTGTAGTGAGCTAGAAGGAAAGATCGGGTTTGTTGATCAATTATTTATAGTTTATATAATACCCTATATACTACCTACACTTCTATAAACGCAAAAATCTTTTAGTCCGCGAACGTACCACTTAAGCCCCATATCATGGTATACGGGCCTTTAGTATCATAACCTGTTATTGCAAAAAGAAGAGATACCTTGCTTTCTCAAAATCAGCGTGGTAGCTGACCTTGATCCGCATAGGCGTTTAAAATTACATGGAAAATTTAAGGATTATATTTATATAAACCACTTTCAACGGTTTGAATCGCGATATATATTTGTTAAGTTCAGCTACCGAAGCGTTTAAAAAAGCGAATTGTATTGAACATTGTTTTAAACAAACTCATCTAATACAATTAGCGTTTTAAACCGTTTGAAGTGGTTTTATTTAAATGTGTTCGAGTAACTAACAATGCTTGATGATATTCTTACAAAAGCATGGCTCTAAATGGTTAAGAAATTGTGCATTATGGTTGAATTGTTGCAAAAAGCAATTGTCCTTTAGACAGTACAAAGCGAGGGCGGCCATCTTGGCCCGCTCTGCCTTCAAAGAGATTATAATAGGTTAGATCGAAGCGAAACTCTGGACTCGCGTAGACATGTGCGCTTGATTATGTCAATAAACTTGAATTTAAAAGTAAATCTGTTTTCTTTTATAAAATCTTAAAAACACGTTCAGCATTTTGAACGCATAAACTTAGAAGAAATAATAATAATCTAACGCGTGCTTATTGGTCTTAGAGTGTATCTCATCTATGTAGCTCCGAGGTTAATAGTGGGAATTGGCTGGCAATTATTTTAAATAACCTCCCGAGTGCACCTTCTAATGCTACAGCACAGTCCTATATAATTCATAACATAACATCTAAACAAGATGCGTTGACGGCCTATTTTGTCTTTGGAAAGTTCGACCCCTACAGACTCAAACCTAAACACACTGTCAACACATACAATACATAAAAATCAAACCCGTGACCCATTGACGAGTTCGTCAAAGTGATCAGCTCAATAAATTAATGGGTTCGCATTGAATTCAACAAATATTATATACAGATTTATTCCATCATATCACTGCCTTTAGTATCTCGATCCGTGACAATACAATTTTCGTAATTCCACTTCGGGAACATTCGTTTGTAAAGGTTCAATAAAACTGTGTCTTGAGATTTCAGCTGGCCGTCGAACACGCATTTCATGTGGCCGTGTGTACCTGAAAAATGGTAAAATATTTTAGTTATTTGTCAGAAAGATACTCTAACCAAATGGGCTATTTGTTAAATTTTGTTTGTTTAGGAAATGAAGGCATGAGAAAATCTGTCGCGACTCGTCTCTGACGAGAGTGACATTTGTGAGTGTGTTTTAGTGGGAAGGTGAAGAAGTAAGCCAATGGGTTAAGCACAACCAGGGCAGTTTAAATATGTCAAGCGATTCATTATATAGTATATTTGCATATATGTTAAAAATTAAGATATATCTATTACCATTTGAAAACTTAAATTTCTTTCACATAATGGCACTATATACATTTATCGATTACGACTCGGGCATGACTTGAACAGAGATATTTTTTAAATTAATAGTCGATTTTTAATTTATACAGTGATAACATGTGAAAAATATTTAAGTTTTCAAACATTAAACTTTGTAATGTCATCTTTAATGATTTTATTAAGCTGCAAGGCATAAGGCATTACAACTTAATACGCAAGTAGTTTAAATTACATTGCGCAAGATGTACATGTAAAAATAAGTTGAAAAAATTCCACGATGAAGCGTAGCAATCGGTAGGTCAATTGGTTAGAGCACCAGCACGGAACGCTGTGGAACCGTTTTAAATTCTGTCCGAGTCTTATCTTTTCTCAATTTGAAATCGATTTTTTACTATTACCATGTCTAACTCTTATTATTTAGTAATATTATCGAAGTACGACATACAAGTCTTAAGCCACGTGAATAAAGTTCAATTTACCTAAAGGTTCCTTGATGTGACCAGTCCTTCCATATTTTGTTCGCAGTTTGCAAGGCTTGAAGTAAACCACATCATCTCTATTGAAGAACATGAAACGAATGACTGCTGACTTTGTATGCACCTGGAATATAAAAATGTTTATTAAGCTTTTTTTAATTTTTAATACCATTTCGACTAGTTATCAAGTTTGGATCCCGGTATAACGATGATAAAACGAAAAATGTGGACAACTAATAACCTATGTAAAAAAAACTTTACGTTATAAACATTCAGAATAGAGGGTAGGATTGCGATTCTACGCCCATGGCTGAAGATAAAAACTTTTTCAATAAAATTAGTTCCCTCTTCATAATTGAAAAATTTTTCTCGACTTAAAAGAATTAAGCAAGCCTCTTTAGAAAGAACAGACAGTCACTTGTTTGCCACATCCACATTCAAATATCACTTAATTAAACCACTTAGATAATTTTTACCTTATATGGATGGCCGGAAAGTATAATTCTCTTAATGATCAATCTATCAGGATTGCAAGACAGCAGTACACCAGAAGCAACAAGCTGCAAATTTGTGTTTCTTTTTTCCTATAAAAAAGTATATTATGTAGTATATAATTATTTTTATAGGGTACAATTACTGACCAGTTTGCAGATATTTAAAGTAACATAGTTTACAAAAAATTATACAAATAAGAAAAGTTAAACTTAACCAGAAAGTCAATTGGGTTACCAACTTGTTCGGTAATTTTAATTAGGAAATAAACAACTACCATCGCTTTTACATTTGTTTTGTTAGAAAAGAACGTGAATGTTAAAGGGTACTACCGACTAATATTGATGAAAGTCAAAATAGATTTCTTAATTAAGACTGTTAAACAGCTCTAAAACCCAAGTAGATTTGCAGAACATCCACGAAATCAGGATTTAACAGTTAAAGACTGACCTTAAAACATAGTACTGAGGATGGACTAAATTGAATTGGAGCATAAAATGTAGCGACACATGTTGACGCTGGTTGGAAGAATCTCTCATACTGAAAATATTAAAATTAGCTTAGCGATAGAAACAGGATAGGATATGTATATTGTATATGTTCACTAACTGAAACATATTACATTCTTTCTTTATAGACTGTGTAACACATATTATTTGTCTTGCACATTTTTTGTTATAGAGGTCAGACAAGCATGGAATTGCATGGAAGGTGATATACACAACATGTTTCAAATAAGTTATAAATTTTTAATGTTGGAGTCAGTGGGTATAGAGTCCATGACCCATTGATCATTAACAATATAATGGTACCATGTTGTTACATTAGAACAATGTGTTCCATATGTACAGTTGATTAAGGCATAATTATGTAGTATCTTGAATTAGTAGTATTAGTAATATGTAAGAAGAACTTACCTTATGTTTGCTTCCATTGGTATGCTGGCTGAATATAGGATTAACAATAAACCTCCTATACCCAACTTGGAAGATCAGTCGCTCCTTACTCTTGATAGGTTCATCACTGGCCCCTGTCCTCCTCAAGACTACATTCATGAGAGACATTTTGTGTTCGTGAGGTAATAACCCGAAGACTGATAGAGGTGCATTTGGGTTCGCTGAATGGAATACCTTCCACAGATCTTGTCGCACGTTTTTGACGTGTATCGTTATGTAGAAACCGTACTGAAAAATAATTACTTTTTTTATGTAGTGAGAGAATTAAGTATCTATTCCTGTAGTTTGAAGTTTGTAAAAACTATACATAAGTAGATACAAGGTAAGACGATACAGTTACAGTGACAGATGAAATTATAGTATATATATTATATTTCATAACAAGATATTTTACCTTAAAGTAAGAGATAGTTGACTAGACTTGACACAAAACGTAAAATATACCTCAAAGTTGCACCATGTTATAACTACGTACCTATTTTGAATTTATTGACTTATTAAATTAAGGCAGTTTTACAGCTAAAGTCGAATATTACTTAACATTGTTTGTGATTAGAGCAGAGAAGTATTTGCAACCAATTACTGGCATATAATATATTGTAAATTATTGTGTTTCCATTTAAGTAAAGGTTATTCCTTATACATAAAAACGCGTCACTGTGTTATTTCACCAATTAATTTTATATAGATTCCTATTAAACCGTACTAGATTTAAACTATTTTTGGCATAAGGGATTATTAAAAGGGGTCTTGGATCCAAATCCTGGGGACACAATGTGATTCGTTAAGACAGGGCATTAAACTTATATAATCAACTACATGATGTCAATATAACCCATTGATTGGTTACAGAACATAGAAACACATAGAACTAGACAAAGAAACGTTGGAGCAACGCGTTTTTTTTTATACTACGGACTATAGACTCATGTTGATATGTACCATATTTTCCAAGCTATCTTCAAGTTCTTTAAAAACGCGCTTCCTCGTACGCTCGTAATTTTCGAACTGAAATATCCGAGCATAATCCGCTGGTAAGTTTTCTTTTGGATCCCATGACGACGTCCTGAATGACTCTAGACCTCTGTACCTATTGAACCTTTCTCGAGCTGGTACATCCTGAAATACATGTAAGGTGTTAACAACATAAATATCAAAAGAAACTAGGGATCAACTTTTCACCACAGTTTAGATAGTAGACTCGATGAAATTGAAGAATAACAGTATTGACACAGTATCTAATACAATAATAAATAAGCTGCTAGATAGCATACCAGGGCATATCATATATATATATTCTATTTTGTAGGGGGAGGTCATGCTAAAGAAATGGACATTAAATAAAGATTAAATACTGTCTATAGTTTACACGAATAGTACACATTTAAATAAAACACTTTAACGGTTTAAAACGCGATATATTAGTTAAACTTATCGGCATTACGTTTCGGACAAAGCATCCGAAACATCGGGCCGAAGTTAAAAATCATTTTCAAATAAGTTTAACTAATATATCGCGTTTTAAACCGTTAGTGTTTTATTTAAATTAAATAAGGATTTCACATTATCTGTTAAATACCTGAGGTGTATCTACTTCATCCGGAAACTGCCTGTCCTCCCGAGCCTCAGCTAACTTCTTTAACATTTCGTGTTCTTCATGTGCATCTATGGTTTCGTCGTATTTCTCATCTGTCGGGCCTACTACAGATTCAGTCACAGATTCGAAATCATTCATCTCTTCACCATCTCCCTCAGAATTAGACTCTTCACAAGACATGAATTCATCATTGTCTTCATTTTCACTATCATCGGAGCCTTCATCCTCCGCATCAGACTCTACGATCCACGCGGCTTGGTAATCGGACCATCCTTTCGGTACCTTTTTCACTTTCCTTGTTTCATTATTAGCCTCAGCAATTTCCTCTTCTGTTGGCCACGTCTGCTCAGCATCCATAGGATCTGGTACATTTTCGGACACCATACTCTCTTGTTTTGTTGGATCAGCTGTTTGTAACACTGTTACTTTTGTTACCTCTGCATCCATTCCATCTGATTTTGTACTGCTAAAAATGGGATATGGATCATCATGCCCATCTATTCTGAACATTTGAAAGTCACCCAGGCCAGATACATGTATTAAACTGTTGACATTTAGAGGCATGCCCCGTAAGTACCCTGTTAATTTTAATGTACCATTGTTGCCTTCATTATCAGGAACATACTCAACCTCTTCAGCTAGCATATAAGGCCTCTTTTCCCTATGATGAATGACATTACGTTTTTGATTACCAATTCTACGAAGTAAGTTAAGTCCATCTGAACTTTTGTCTAACTGCATTACTTTTTCATCTGGTAACCACTTAGATACTAGTTTCTGGACAATTTGTTTTTCTGATGTTCTCTTTTTTGGGTGGATGCCTTCTATGTCCATTGCAACTACAATAGGTGTTGGCATTCCCTGAGCCATGGCCAGAGCAAGAGCCTTCTCCCCCCACTCATCTATTGGCTCTAACGCTGAACACACAAACAATACTGTATCAGCTACTTTCAAAGCATCAAGAAGACCAAAATCATTGTCTATTTCTGGTGCGATGAAAGAGAACCGTTGTTTAAAATTTGGCAACCTGAAAAGCAAAGACAGTTTTTATTTATTTGAGCAATAATTAATAAGTAGTTATTATTTATTTTTCATGAGGTGTCTTTGATGCTATTACTGATAGTGGAACTTGTTATCAGTCAGTAACTAGGTACAGTTAAAAATAAATATAAACTTTAGATTTAAATTTGCTGTCAGTTTTTGTTAGAAAATTAGAATCACAATTTTTATGAGATGAAATAATATAATTTAGTACTGGTTCTAGTTTTTTTGTAAAATATATTAATTATAGATAGTGATGAACAATAGTGTTGTCTGTATTATAAGATATTAAACATAATAAAAATCACCCAGTGATGGCAACTTCTTTTCTTACCCGATATGCAGAAATCCATTCTCTGACTGAGATACTATAGCACCTTCAGAGCATGTTTTTAGGATTACTAAAGCTGACTGAGCATCCAGCTGCCTGTTCAACGGGACTACACACACTAAAAACGGAGGATTTCTTTGACCACCTAGCGCACGTTTTTTCGCTAACACTTCTTCGCGCTTATTTCTACGAATCTGTAAGGCTTGGTGTCGGCGCTCGTCTTTCTTGAGAATATGTCGATTGCGACGCACGAATTCCTTCACATTTACTTTACCTGTGCACGAAAAATATCATCTAGAAAAATCCTACTTTAATCTAATTCATATACATCAAATCATATCAAAACAGTTTTCTAACCTTTAGCATCGGCTGCAATACCACGTTTTGACCGGTGCCTTGACTTATGCGTCTTGTTACTTTGCTTTAAATTCCCTGGGCGATGAGCTTGCTGCATTTTTACGATGATTATATTGTTAATATGTGAGAAATACCAATATTTACCAATAAAAATAACACATTCACATGGTTAGGCTACCCACTGACACTTGGAAGAAATGACACTATACAACTGTAAACGTCAACGTCAAGATTTGTGTTTCGTAAAAAACTCGTAAGTTTAATGGTTAAACATCCATTTAGTATGGGAGATCCATCAAATTAATATGAAGAAGAAGATTGGAATGTCCAACGTTGCAATAGATATTGTATCCTTCTTCTTATACAGATGACTTTTATTTTTGTAAAGAAACAGTTTTCGGAAAATCATGCAGGTGGATTGATTGATTGTGGACGGAACGCGTGATTTCTGTCAACAAAACCTAATAATTATGTATCCATATATTTTAAATAAACAAAGATTTGCCATTATCACTGGTATATATTATAACAATGTTAAAATGTATTAATAAAGTTTTGGTTTAATAATTTGTCCACTCTGTCTTAGTCCAACTCTATGAAGGATAATCTGTAATAGGCTGAATACTGTAATAATTTATAGCGAGCAACTCTGTGTTTCCTACTCAATTCGTAATCTGTGAATGTGAACGCCAACATCACAAGTCACGTGACGTGACGTTGTGGACGTGTCATTTGTGGACGGTTCGCTGGCGGCGTTGCGCAGGTTCATTTTTGTAAAAGTCGAGTTGGAGTCTTATTATTGACCAAAAGTTGAATGGTTTTGATCGATTAGATCAGTTATTATTTTAGTTAGGATAATAAAAACACAATAATACAAAATGGGAAGTGAGTATACTTTTGATTTATCCAAATTTCTTGAGATTAAGCCGACACGTAAAGGATTTTGTGAAATGGTGATACCTCCCGTGCTAAATGAGTTATATCGTGTGCTATAACAGTTAAATATTGTTTTGCAGTAAAATTCCTTGAAGTTATAAAGCCGTTCTGCAGTATATTACCGGAAATAGCAAAACCCGAGAGAAAGGTAAGTCATAATTGTTAACTTTTCTTCACCAATCTCCACCTTGCAATACAAGTAACTTATTGTATTAACTCTTTTTTAGTTAGAATTTACTTTATAAATTATATATCTAGAGTATATGAGTACATTCAACATTACAGTATACCCAAAATTATAAGTGAAAGTAACCTCAAATAAATTGAAAGTACATACCTATAATGTAACTGTAAAGGTACCATTTCTTTATGACAAAGCAGTCGAAAATAAAAAGCTATTGGTTGTTTCAGATCCAATTTAGAGAAAAAGTATTATGGACAGCAATAACACTATTTATTTTCTTAGTATGTTGCCAGGTAAGCAAATCATTACATATTTGATCTACGTACAATCTTTTTATGATTTTAACTTCAAATTTAGTGAACATACTTAATTTTAAGTATTATCATGACTACATATTCTTTAAAATGTTATTTGTAAAGATCATCATTAAAGAAAATAATTGATTGACTTAGTGAGTAATAATATTTGAGAAGCGTTTATTAATCTTATTACACATTTGAGTGATTTTGCCCTGCTTTTCTAGGTGATCCAACTAGACAGATCACACAGAAGTACAACTTGGTGCTATCTAAGCCTAACCTTTTAGGTAGCATATGTTACCTTTTTATCCATGTTCATTTGTGAATTGAGACTTATTTTCTAATAAAAATGTACTATATAGTATACAAATTTCATTCTTTTTCATACCATCCCAATGAGCATATATTAAAAAGACAAAATCTTTTTTGCTCCAAAAGTTGTACTTAAAGAAAACTGGAGTGATTCTCATGGTAGTAAACCAAATAAATTAAGATTCTCAGAACAAAGAACTCAAAATATTTCTAGTTGGAAATAGTATTTTGACTACATCACCATTTATTTTTAGATACCATTGTTTGGTATTATGTCGTCGGACAGTGCGGATCCTTTTTACTGGATAAGAGTCATCTTGGCCTCTAACAGAGGAACACTTATGGAACTCGGAATCTCACCCATTGTCACATCTGGACTTATCATGCAACTTCTAGCTGGAGCAAAAATTATTGAAGTTGGTGACACACCTAAGGATCGAGCTTTATTCAATGGAGCTCAGAAATGTAAGAATGTAGTAATAATATAAAAGCACATGAGAGTTTTTAAATTAATAATCTTTCAAATAACAATTAAAATTAGGCACTTCATTCACAATAAATTGTTGTTGACAGTATTCGGAATGGTGATCACAATTGGTCAAGCAATTGTCTATGTGATGACTGGAATGTACGGAGAACCAAGTGAAATCGGTGCTGGAGTATGTCTACTTATCATCATCCAACTCTTTGTAGCTGGTCTCATTGTCTTGCTGTTGGATGAACTGCTGCAAAAAGGTATTAATCAAACAAAAATCAATTTGTACAAGTGACAAAAGTTTTAGTATATTTAGAATTAAAATTTAAAGAAGCTACCTAATAGAAAAATAAGAATTTAACTTATTCCTTCAATAATAATAGAATTTCCTTGAAACGAGGAAACAATTTGTTTAAATAAATTACCTTGATAAGAATTCTCGTTAAACAATATTAATAAGTATTGTCCAAAATGATTTACTTCAGTTATTATAAGTTGTGATAGATTAATATTGGCATAATAGTTACCAGAAATCATTAGATAGGATTTCGCTAATTACTTGTAACAATCTACAATATATATTTTATATTGTCTATAATGTTAATGAACTAGTTAACTCATTAAATGTGTAATAAATTTGTACTGTCTTAAAAGTATTAATCTTGCTGCTATTTAGAAACAAAATATACCATATGATATACAGTTAAAAATAGTTACTTTTATCTGTTTTTTAGGATACGGTCTCGGTTCTGGCATTTCACTGTTCATTGCTACAAACATCTGCGAAACTATTGTATGGAAGGCGTTCTCACCAGCTACTGTTAACACTGGTAAGATGAAATTTTTTATATAAAATATTTCTACCCTCTTTTTATCTAAGTGTGTTTATGCAGCCTCTTTCTTAAATAACATAACTGATGGCTCTTTTTTTTTTAAGGTCGCGGCACGGAATTCGAGGGAGCTGTGATAGCTTTGTTCCACTTGCTTGCAACTCGACCAGACAAAGTCAGAGCTCTCCGCGAGGCTTTCTACCGCCAGAACCTGCCCAACTTAATGAACTTGCTCGCAACAGTCCTCGTTTTTGCTATAGTCATATACTTCCAGGTTTGTTGACATTTTGCATAGTAAAAAGTTTTATTTAGCACAAATTTATCGATTCTGTCAAATACCAGTAATAAAAGTTACATTTTTGTTTGAAGGAAACTATTTGTATTGACTTTTTAAGTAAGTTAAATTTGATAATAATATTACTTTGAAACTATGTAACATATGTTTTGTATCCAGGGCTTCCGCGTGGACCTACCAATCAAGTCAGCCCGTTACCGTGGTCAATACTCATCTTACCCTATCAAGCTCTTCTACACTTCAAACATTCCCATCATCCTTCAATCGGCGCTGGTCTCCAATCTTTACGTCATTTCACAGGTAAATAAACTATAATTAAAGAACAAAGACAACACCTGCGTAATAAATAAAAAGAAATAAGATGCAATATATATTTGTGTATAAAAGCTAAGAATTTGTTGACAACTCGAACTAAACTAACTCATATCTTCTCTCAACAGATGTTAGCCGTAAAATTCAGTGGCAACTTCCTAGTAAACCTACTTGGTGTATGGGCTGATGTTGGCGGCGGTGGCCCTGCCAGGGCCTATCCTGTCGGGGGACTCTGCTACTATTTCAGCCCCCCTGAATCCCTCTCACACATCGCACAAGACCCAGTACACGCGGTCCTCTACATCTTCTTCATGTTGGGTTCCTGTGCATTCTTCTCCAAGACATGGATCGATGTGTCCGGTTCATCAGCTAAGGATGTAAGATTTTTTTGTAATTAATTTACAAAGTTGACTCATGATGAAGTACTTAACCTCCTCTGAAGTGGGATTTATGTTTGTTGTCTTTAAACATTAGTATCCTTGTTACGCAGGTCGCCAAGCAACTGAAGGAGCAACAGATGGTGATGCGAGGTCACCGTGACAACTCAATGATTCACGAGCTCAACAGATACATCCCAACCGCCGCGGCTTTCGGAGGTCTCTGCATCGGTGCGCTATCAGTGCTCGCTGATTTCCTCGGCGCCATTGGCTCCGGAACCGGTATTCTTTTAGCCGTGACCATCATCTATCAGTACTTCGAGATCTTCGTCAAAGAACAGGCGGAGATGGGCGGCATGAGCACGCTGCTCTTCTAAGACGCTTCGAACGGTGTTAGAACTTTCTAGAACGGTCTTTAAACATTTAAGAACGAATTTCGAACATTCTAGTACAATCGAAGGTGCTTGACATGTTCCGGGACCGTGTAGGAACGTTCTAGGGAACCCCTTCGCGTTTTCAGTGTCGGCGATGGCGGATATGTCGTAGTTGTGTGCGCACTGATTTGATTGTAAGTCGATATTAAAATGACAATTGTTATATGTAAGTCGTAGTTTCTCTGTAAATAGTTGCATCGGATTCGCTTTTTTTTATTTTCGTTACTCTCTGTAGGTAGCTGAATTGTATCCGCATCACCGATTACTGATTTTCAGCGAATTTAGTTATAAAAAGATGTTGTAGTGTGTCAGAATCGCGTCGTACGTTCCCGTGAGTGCGAGTATGGGTTATGTGCTATTTATATGAGATGAACTTTATAATAAATAATTTACGACATTTGCCGAGTTTTGATTTATCCTGTTTCTTTCGAAGCAGTACCTCAACTAAACCCTCGAAACGGCAATAATGCAATTGTACTGTTCTAGCTCTCAGACTATGTTTAACCGCGTTGATTAGTTTCTGTGGGTAGTTTTACATGATGTCGGGTGGGTATATTTATGTCATCAATAATAGGTTTATTTACAAGTCTATTCCAACCTTGCTAAGACAACTTGCAAGACTTAATTAATTAAGTTATTGTTGGAAAGCCAATTTAAACTTAAGTAACATATCAAATACAAACTAAATTTTTAAGCTCAAAATTTTGTGTTGTATGTTTTCACTGGATTGTTATAACAATAAAGTTTTATAAACAGCAATGTTTATTTATTTTAACGAGAGTAAGGTAGTCGGACATTTAACGAAAATTAAAACGAAACATCGTAGTTAAGTAATTTTATTCTCACTATATGCGAAATACAAGGACAAAACAATTTGCGATCCTCAAACCGATTAGCCTAAAACTCATTTCGATATAACAAAAATTTCGTAGCTAGCTGTGGTAACAAGGGGTTTATTTACATATAATTTTAGTCAGGGTTGCCAGCTGTCGGCGTAAAATAGGATTGTTTAACCTAAAATACACATTTATGGCACAACACAAACTCTACACATTAAATAGGCACTTGTTTCACTCGGAGTTATGTCGTATTGCTTTGTCGAAATGAAACTTGGTCCCCACCAAGATAAGCTTAGGCTCTAATGTGTAGATTTGAACGGAAGACAACCGAAACGTCTGAAAACCTGAAAACTGAATCCCACCCGACTCCTAAGGCAATCTGTGATAGTAAACGGTAAAAATTATAATGCTTTATACTCTGTTGCTACTAAATAAAATTCTCGACGCAATAGTAATAACAAAATATTTTCTGCCTTCACACTGTAGTAGGTGGCTTGCGTTGACCGATAATTTGTTATATAGTATCTGCTCTATATCTGAACGAGTTAGAAGCACTCTTATTATCTACAATATACATTTTAATTCTAAAGATCCCTGCCCACTGCGACATAATATAACCAAAGTGTCCGTGCTGATCGAAAGCAATTGTTTGAAGACAGAGTTAACAAATTTATTCTTTGATAACGATATCGAAAAACCATCATACTAGAAAATTTTTAACACGTCAAATGGTCACGTTACGATGTAGTGGACAAAAACCTTAATAATGATAGTTTAGGATGTCTCAATTTCACTGTGTCGGTGTCAATTATGTTGTACACTAGTCAAATTTTGATGTATGTACACCAGAGTTTATACCATCTATATACAACTGAATAAAAAAAAAACTAAACGGGTGAGGTGAGTAAGGAAACATTTATTTTTAAACTTTTCGAAAATAAACAAATAAAAACAACAGTGCCGATGTGCAAGCGCATAAACATGGGGCAATTAAAACTAAGAAACAAACCGATTTTTTAATAATGCTAGGTGTACCCATAATTTGCAGCGATGTTATCTTAGATTCGAAAATGTACTTTAATCAACAGTTGAAAAAAAAATTAACTAGATTACTAAGAGCAATAAAAAGGTAGACAACCAGAAATGGCATGGTCATGCATTTAAAGTACTTTTAAATATAATATTTAATTAACCAGGTCATTAAATTATATTAGTTAAGCAAAAATTAAGCAATAAAGCCAAAATTTAGAAACTGATTTCACTTTGTTTCTACTAAGAAGAGCATATTTAAAATACCGTTATTAACATGCACTCCTTTGCCCGCATTTTTATTGCTCGAAGCTAAAGAAACAAGTAGTGTGGACCCGCTAAATAATAAAAATAACAACAAAAACTGTACCGCTAATATTAATTATGCTCAATTACGGTAAACAAAAAAGAAACATTAAAAAACTTATTGGAAGTGCGGTAAAAACTAATATTAGCGGCACCCAAATGCACCACCCAACAGTTTATACAAATACGTTTAAAACTAATATTTCGCTAATTAACTATTCTTTGTACATGCAACACTTAGATTTATGCCTACAGACCAAACTCATTAAATATGGTAATTTAGAATATAGCTTGCTATACAAATGCGTTACTATGGTAACACAATACGATTTAGTGACCCAAATGATTTTGTCATAGTCGCTTGCCCAATATTTAAACATACTTCGAGTTCAACTGTTCAAACGCCATTTTGTCAATATAAAAGTTCGAAAATAGAACGCCATTTTGTCAGTGCATCTGTTCGAAATTGGAACGACGCCATCTTGTTAATTTCTAATTTGAATGACGCCATTTCGTAAAACAACTGTTTTGGTGGACACAGATAATAAGTTCAAGACTATAATGCCGTATACATTATGAATGGAAGAAAATGTAACATTTTTATTTAAAAAAAATAACTGAACGAATCCTGCTCTATAAATAATTAATAATTTTAGAAATGTATTATCGGCATATTGAGCTCTTATTCTCTTTGTTCGCGCAAATCCTGCCCACGATTCAGCTATTTACCCAATAGTTATGTAAAACAGGTTTCATCGCACTGCAACTTTAACGTCATAAACGGAAATATAATCGTTCTACGATTGAGGGTAGAAAGAGAATCGGTGAGCATTTATCATCGCACTGTTGGCAGACACGGCAATAAATGTCCACAAACGTTTCCTCGAGTCCAACCTTGAAACACGAACTGTCAAAGTCAAAGTAGCTCTACTAAGCAATCGTTTCGATTTCTTCTTGCTCCGGAGTGGATATAGTTTTAGGAGGCGTCGGGTAGGGCAGCGTTTTGAGCTTGCGCGCTTCCCGCCTCTGTTTCTTCTGCTGCATCACGAGCCTGAGCTGTTCGAGCTTGCATTTGGTTTTGGAGTTCTCCATGGCTAGGGTTTTGGCTGTACTGCACTTTTGGCATAGGTCGTTCGTCCCCTTACCCTCGCAGTTCACGCATAGGGGTGGGTTTAAACGGTTGCAGTGGCAGTCCTTGGGGCAAGTGCATGATTTCCGGGATGTGGATGGATGACCATCGCACTGGCCGTAGGAGCAGGCCGCTTGACTGCAGTTAGGACATTTGTTAACGTCATCAAGGTTAGTGTTCGTGCAGTTGTGTTTCAAATCCCGCTGGAATTATACACCTCTATTTAAGTCATAATTTAAACTTTATCTTTTAGCATAATTACAAACGGTCAACAGCGGTGATCACCGTCCTATATTAGGTTCTAAAATTAATTCAAGTTACTTCATATAATAGAGGCACGTACGTCAAAAGACAAATAGTTCCTGTAACTAGCTGGTGAAGTTCAGTTATTTCATTTTTCTCCCTATTTAAAAAGGTAAGAATTAAGTAAACTATATGAACAGTTATATGCAGTTGAATCAACCAATCTCATTCAAGGATAGGTCGTAAAGGTTGAAACAAGTGGGTTTATAATTGTAGCAATACATCTTCAACAGATGTCGTAACAGACAATTTTTCTACGATAGAGAAGGACGGACTAGTATAGGGTTTATTTCATGAAAGGTAAAATACCGAAGCCACTTAACATCTAAACAAGATTGGCTTGTCAGCCTATTTTGGCTTTGGATAATCGAAATTCCAGACTGGAATTCCTACCACCCATTTAATATCCAGACTTCCAAACGGAATCCAACATGTTCGGGAATCAAACCTTGATTCTAAGACATTCATTGCATCTAGTAGACCAACGAGCTCGTTAGAATATATTTAAAGCAAAATAGTTAGAATTAGGATATCAATAATTTCTTACCTGTCCCAACGGTGGAGTGGCGCAAAGCAAGTCATTCAGGATGTGTATAATTGTAGATATGTCGCGTTTAGGTCGTCCGTATCTGAAATGTAAAATTATTTATGTCAAATACACATTTTAATAACGAGTTGATATTGATATTATATAGTCAAGAGAATTGTTATGACTTTTTTTAGGTTGACAAATTTTCTCCATGTCACAATTTTAAATTCTAGTTTGATCATAAATTATGTGGGTCATAGAACAAAATGTATTATGTCAGCACGTGCGTACTATACGGTTCCAAGTTTTTGTTTCAATGCAAAAACTACAGGGCGAATAAAAAATTTAAAAAAAATTACATCAAAAGGTACATTAGAATTTAAATATATACATTTAAATTCTACAATTAATATTTTGTCCTCTTCTGTGGCATTAATAAATATGTGAAAAAGAGACAAAATACCTTGTTAAGTTCTTGTAATGTATATAAAATATGATTGGAATGTTTTGTCTCTATTTCCCTCTCTATTGTTAAAAAAAGCGAGCTGTAACTGAAGTTGGCAATAATGCTTAAAAAATAAATAAGTAATGTAATTTTTTTTAACATTTTTTGTTCCACACAAGTATCATATCAAATTGATTAACCTCGATAAAGTAGAACATATTAAATGAATAGAAGTAGTAATTCAACTACATTTAAAAATGTCTAAAACGAAAAGAGTCGACAACGCATCGTGTTTAGACTTTATATGGCTGGTATATCACTATCCAACAAGTTCTCTATGCTTGTCTGTCCTTCTCTTACACAAAAAAGGTTTAAGTGTGACTAGATCTATGTTTCGACACAGCTTAGCGTATTTATATTATTATAAAGCGTCAGCTCTCAGTTATTAATTCGAAGTCTTGATTAATGGATTAACAATGATTAATGCAAACTTTTATAGAAAACAATCGGTGATGGACTCCACAAACATGCTTCGAAAAGTGATGGAAACTATAGATACTATTGCAGACTTCTAAGGAATTAAAGAGTACATTTTTTAAATCAATTACCATTTGGATGTTCTAAAATAAATTTTAGACATATATTTGGAGACAACCTCACTACTACTAATTACACTGATGGTTAATACATGCAACAAATTGCAATTAAAACATAAAAGGCAGTAACAATATGATATTATTTACTTCTAAATCACCTAAGCCTTCCTTCTGTCTAATTATCATCATTATCAACACATATTATTATATGTGTTTATAAAGATGATTATTACATATAATAGTACTATCTATGAAAATGAACCCAAAATTGCAGAAAGTCAACTCGCTACCACCTCACTAGTACTTTAATTGCTATAAAAAATCTCTAGGTACAAGTAAAATCAGATGGAAAACTTAGTCATAGCACTAAGAAGGGCATATCCTTATCTGCCTTTAATTATTATCCATGCATATTTCATGATCATATACTTGGAGATTCTCAAACAATGTATACTTAATGCATATTGAAAACACAACAGCAATTAAATAGGAAAACCATTTAAGAATTGCAAGGCCTATACATTTGTAAGTAAAATTACTTTGTTTCAATTGTGGTTTTATTTAAGGAATTATTAAATGAACTATTGCTTTAAAAATAATATCCAAAATATGTTTAGTTGGACCATTTATTGAGGAAGACTTTAGACTAATAAAACACCAGGCTGTGACCAATAGGAGAGAAGAGACACAGGGAATTAAGGAAACAACAGAGAAAATTATTCATCTTTGAAGGATTCAGTTCAGGTTCAGTGCACTGCGAAAACAACTCAAGATTCCCATAAAATGTGTATAAAAGAATGATCCCTCTTTAATCTATGTAAAAAAATCTCTACTAGAGTATAATATGTCTATCTTTTAAGATTCATTCGCTAAAATGACGGGAGGGCCCGGGTGATGGATAGTCATGATGATGGAGTTAGGATGTTTCTCAACATTCACACATAGACACACACTACATTTGATATTTATATCGTGAAACTGTATGTCTACCTTCATAAAGATTCAAGTATGTTACTTACATATGTGGGTATATAAAGAAATATATAAGGGTAGGTTAAAATTATAATGTTCTTACCTGTCTTGTAAAGCAGGATTTAGTGTGCCAGAGAATGTTCCCGAGTATATCCCCCGACCGTGATGCTTCATAGACTCAATGACTGCACCAGGACTTATTTTTGATCGCACAGACTGCTCCAACGTTTTGAGATCAATTTTTTTTGTCAACACCTCCTTAGATAATTTTCTAAGCTTCTGTGTGAGACTTCTTGAGGCTTCCTTCAGGGCTTTAGTGTCTATAACCGGGTTTTCATCTGTAGATGTGATCGGTGTTGGTGTCTGTTTGGATGTGGAGGGTATAGCATAGACATCTGTCTGGCTTCCTGTAGCAATCTTTGTGACTGTCTCCTTTGAGGTAGACGGTTGTGGGGAATCAATTTGAATACTTCTTTTCTTATTTGCGACTTGCAAGAACGCCTTTTGCTTATTTTGGCTAATTGGCTGCTTGAATTTGGATGTCTTATGAAGTAAGTATTGGAAGCGCTTATTTTTTAATGGCTCATTTATGCTTTGGAATGATGGAAGTGGTCCAGTGGACTCTTGTCCGTGACTGGTCGTTGCCAGGTTTGAAATCTCTCGATCCATCATAGTCTCATCTTGCTCGGTGAAAAGGCCCTTGTCAACAGCACTATTGAATAGATTTTCCATTGGGTATTCATCTATTGTGTTCTCAGCGAGGAATGAACTCTGTTCAGTGAAATTATCACTGTCGTCACTCATGGAGTCCGTGTGACTTGAAGTGCAAGGCTTGTCACATGTGGATGGTATGTCACCCGATTTATTTGATAGTAAGTCAAGCAGACTACTCTTAACTGAGTTGGCAATTGCCTTTGCTTCTCTATTCTCTGAGGTATGTATCGGACTAGAGACCAAATTTGATAATGACTTTATAGGTGACTGTTCACTCTCACCCGATGTGTCAGCCATATCTGATAATGTACAATTTGAGGAATTTGCATCCTCTTTGCTTGTGTCAGCTTTCTCAGCAAATTTCTCTTCAGCCATAGATCTATATAAATCGAAAGCATTCTGCAATAAGTCTAAGTCCTGTTTCTCTAAATGTAGCTCTTTGTGTTTTTCAGAAGGTGCATCATTTGTCTTTGGAACTGATTGAGCTGTTGAAACTGGCTCCTTGGTGTCAATTTTGGAAGCAGAAGAACTTTTTGTCGGGGTGGATGTTCTTAATGAACGACTACTGCTTGATGAGCCAGAATTAAGGGTGGAAAGCTGCAGCTGTATCAACATCATGTGGTCCCCGAGCCTCATAGTAAGATTCAACGGTGACCTTCCACTAAGAAAATCATTAACTTGATTGTCATTGAGGGTCTCTAAAGCTTGCATCACCGAGTTCTCTGATCTTTGACTCTGTAACACGAGGGAAACACTTGAAGAACGATATACACGATTACTTGACCATTGTTATGAAACACGTGATTATCAAGGGACATTGAGTAGGCTTGCGAAATTGTATGACGTACTTACCAACAGACCACTTTCGACGCTCGGCAGTAAAATCACTCGCGATCCATCCAAAAGGCCATTTTCTTCCAATGTGCCGTCCATAAGTTGTCTGCAAAGAGCGAACCATTTATCAATAACCGAGTCAAAGGACGCGGATGCGTCATCGAGTCGACGCAACTTATTTCCGTGTTAACTATGTTTAACAATAGAGATTTGGCGTCCGACGCCTCCTTTATTACCTTTCGCGATGTAGCAGGCATATTCTATCCTTGGACACTTTCAATTTTCTCGAAACAACTTTCTTCAGGTACTCCACGGAATTTTTACAGTTCACGCTAATGGAGAAATTACCACCAGTCGTCGTTTGTATATTCAGCGTTATGTCCGTGGAATGGGTCGAGCCACACCCGAACACCTCTGTTCCCGTTGCACGTTCCATATTTTGCACATAAATAACACTATAATTTACCGTATTTCAATTTCGTCAAAGAAGAACTTAACTAGAATTACACAGCTATTTTATTGTAGGAAAAAATTAACAGGGTCACACGCTAGACCCCCAGATTTGATGTGGCCGTCTGTGTGACCAATCTCCATCGCCGATTTCCCGTTATTTTTTTCTATAACAGCTGATGCGAAGCGCTGCTCTAACGATGTTCCTTAACACACAGATAATATAAAAAATGGCGATTAAAAGACAAAAAATATTACTAAAGAAGTAACTCCTTTTACAGTAAACGGGGTTATTTTAAAGTAACGATAAAGTTTAAATTATATTCACTTTATAATTAAAATACTGGGTAATGAAAATCAATAAAATTCGGCAAAAAGTAGGCAACATTATTTTTTACATAAACTATTGCGTTCATCGGAATAAATATGTCAAACTTTTATAAATCACGTAAGACGCCTTTCAGACGCGCCAATTTTAAATCGGAAAAAATTTAGGGCAAATTAATTTAAAAAGTTTATCATAAGCACGTATATATGTTAATCTTTAATGCAGTATATTTGTTGATTTTGGTCGTTTAGTTATACATAAAACATTAAATCTTAAAGTATATATAGAAGTCAATATGTAGTTAAAAAAAGGAATTGTATTAAGACAAATAACATATCTTTCTACATATATTTTAGGTAATCCTCAAAACATATTGGGATTCTAGGAACAAGAAATTCAGAATATTGTGTTAATAAATACAAAGATCGTATAACTTCGTTTGTATGTATAGTTACTAAATAATTAATTAAATGCATATTTTTGCAACTTAACATAAATTTCATCAGTAATATCATGTCAGGAAATATTAGTTGTATATTTTACTATTTCTTATGATATTATACTGTAAGGTCTCTGTTATTTTTATGTATTAATAAAATAAAAAGCAATATGATCCTCAACCCTTCTTTATTAACCCAGCACCTCACAACAAAAACAACATGTTTCACATTATACCTATCACAGCAACTTTCACATCAAAAGATATTACTTAAACATATCGAATTAATAGACATTTAGGCGAAAGAGTGCGTTTGGCGAAGGATTGCAAATTGATGTACTTTGTAAAAAATACTTACACCAAGGTAGATTCACGATTTCGGTATTTAAAGAATCCAAAAATATAGATTAAGAATTATTGTAATTAACATAAGTACATAAAGAATATTATATTTATCTATGTTTTCGACATTTCATCTGAAACCGAAGCATTAATATCAGCTCTGTCTTAATAATTAAAGGTATAAAAAATCATGATTTCATTAAAAAGAACAATTGAAAGTAACGTCTTCCGGAGTCAGTTAAAAATCTAGATTGAGGCTTAGACGTGTCACATAAAAATTACTAATCGATATGAATTTTGTACTCTTTAAAAAAAAAAACAACAATATATAACATGTTAGCTATCACTGGGATTTGAATCATAATTATTGATCTAAATAAAAAATAATAAGAATGTCCATTTCAGGCTATGAACAGGAGTCAAAAATCTTGAATATTCAAAGTTTTGGGAATAAAATATTATAGTAGTCCATATTTGGCCTGGGACATAATAGAGGTGGACATTCCCATTAATACATGCCTTTATAAGGGTAACAACAAATAATGAATTATCACAATATTAAATGTGGCTTCGCCACATGATTTCTCTTTCTTGGGAGTATAATATACAATATTGATTTAATCTTAGTTAGTGAAATAAGTGCGAAAAATTTGTCACATTTAATAAAACAGTATTTCTTTCAATACATACAATACGGCTAAAAAATATTTGTGATAAAAAAATAGATTTTTCTACATAAACAACATACAACAACACAACATTTGCAATTATTACCTAAAGAAACAAACAAACAATCTTTGAAGTAGCACATGAATTTTTCTTTAGAAAACGCGCCACTTCTAGATCTGTTTTCGTTAAAGTTGTCAAAATTAAAAAGTTTGAATGCCCTGCATTTGCATTAATATCTAAAAAAATTACATTTTGGACAAGTCAACGGATATCGTTAGATAGTCGCTATCAAGTTGAATAATGGATTTCAATATAGTATATGTATAGTAGTTTAGTTTTGAGCTTAAATTACTTCTACTTGAGATATTGAATGTTCTATATTACTTAAAGTTACCTTTTTGCACAAGTTGTTATAGTCAGTGTTGCCACTGTGTCTGGCTATGATTTTATCGAATAAAAGGTTATTATAAATTGTAAAAGGCTTATACATCGAGCCTAACACCCCGAAGTAAGATGTTTTTTTTCCGTTGTAAAAATACATCTATTAAATAGAGTCGAATTTTGTTAATTATAAACAATTTTATAATTTAAATAAAACACTTAACGGTTTATAACACTAAATACATTAGTTAACTTATATTCATTTTTTTAATCATTATACCTTTCATCTTCTTTCCCCCTGCGACCACGGCTGCTGCAAAGTTTCCGAGACGTCCAAAACAAAAGAATTTGTACATAACGTTGTTAATTTGTGTTAACGATATATGTCGCGTTTGAAACTATATAAATGTTTTTATTGCGTACACTACAGGCAGTGCAAGCTATAATCCAAAAATTTGGTAACACAAGATTGCATAGAAATACTAAATACAAGTAAATCAACATATACCACATCTTCAAAACTTTGGATATCACTCGAAGTAGAAGTCCCCTAAGTTTAGAATTAACAAGAAACGACTGCATTTGTATTAAAAAGTATTGAGTTTAAATTGTATTTCTCATAAGACTAAAAACGTGATTTAGAGAAAGACAGGTATCGCTTAATAATCGATACCTGTCTAGTCCTACTAGGACTTAAATAGGACTTGACACTTTGTAATTGGCAAAAATCGATTGCCAAAATTAACCGTCCTTGACATTAAGAAACAAAAATTTAAAAAAAAAACAATAATATTTCCTATAGTGTATTTTTTCTAACTTGACAAATGACCACAACAATTGTGGCTTTTTTTATTATAAATATTTTATGGGCTTTAAGCCAAACATTTATGGCTGATTTCGACCCATACAGACCTATTTTTATTTTACTATTATTTAACTCGACGTTATAACGCTTTGCAGCGATTGTGCATGAGTGGGGCTTCTTCCTTCAATTGTCGTTCAGTGTCGTCGACTTTGATTACATCCCATCTCATCACGTCAAACTAAAGACTTTTGAGTCTGTCCATCTACGTAAATTCATTTTTGGGATTTTTTAGTAATTTAACAGTATATTGTGGTCTTTACTAAGTGAATTTGAGGTAGTGACATTAGTTTAATATATAATCCAGTGTCTTAAAGTATTTTTTAGTAGAAATCAATGGTAATTGTGTTATTGTTTGTTAAAAATGTCAAGTTAGAAAAAATACACTTTACTTCTTTCATAATTTCTGTTCAGTGTGCCGTCAAAGTACATACAGTACTCAATTAACTAAAACATTCAAGATCACGAGCCAAACTCCTGCGTAGTGTTGTCGATCTCGCCGAAGACGTACCCTCCGCGCCCGTCCATCTGCAAGTAGTGGTCATGGTGTTGCCAGAGCGACTTGCGGTGCGACACGGTGAATAGAGATATGCCCATCTGGAGAAAAAGTAATACATCACTTAACATTCCTTATCAACGCAATCTATACTAATATATAAAGCTAAAGAGTTTGTTTGTTTTTAAAAAATATTTTCATGTTGGTTAGAGCATTTATCGAGGAAGACTATAGGCTATGAAACATCGCGCTGAGACTAGGAGCGAAGACATAGCGGGAAATGTGGAAAAAAAAACAGAACAGCCCGAAAGACAATGATATGCTGAACGATTGCAGAAGGATGTCAGAAGCAAATTTTATGTCCAAAATATTACTTTTACGCGGACGAAGTCGCTGACGCAGCTAGTGTTGTTGTTTGTTTGAACGCGCTATTCTCTAGGAAAGGCACTATTGGTTTGAATTGAATAATACTAACGAGCAAGGCTTAAGAGTTTAGACTATAACATTTAGCAAAAACAAATTTTGACGCCCAAAGTAACTATTCTACACAGCGAGTGGAGTGGACAGCATTAAGATGAAAAGATGAAATGAATAAAATTGAAAATAACAACGGAAACAAAGTTAAGTTGTATTCGTTTCGAAATTGAGATCATAAATCAAATCAAATTAAAGCAAAAATCATTTATTCATGTAGGTATTGCTTAGTACACTTATGAACGTCAAAACAGGTAAAAATTTAAAACTCTAAATTCACAGTTACTACCCTAACTAACTTTGTGGTTACATGTTTAATAGCGAACTGCAAACAAAAATAAATGAAACAAATTACGACTTAATAAAACGTGTTTAAATAAAACACTTTCAACGATTCCCAACATGAAGTATACTAGTTGACTTATTTAAAACTACGACTCATGGGAGGACTAAAGATGAACAGTATCCCAATCAGACAAGTAGCAAGTAATTCAGAAAATTCTTTAAAAGTATTGTTTAATAACAAACGACGTGTGTAATATATCCTATTTCCATCAGTTTTTATTATTTTATTCATATGTATATTATTGACGTGAACTGAGGATGATTATTAAAGTTCCCAAGTAAACAGAGGATAAAAATAAAAATATCAGAAAATATTAGTATTGTATGTGCCTCAAAACACCCAAATTTTCGTAGTTTGAAAATTTTTAAAATAAATTTCGCGTTTTAAACCGTAAAAACTGCCATAAATGGCATCTGTCTGTATGTAATCTTGTACATTATGACAACACGCAGGCAGATACTCAGAATTTTGGCGTCTTCAAGTCCAATTTATCTTTTCATAGACACACTATACTTTCTCTTACCTCTCTACAGTATCTGTACATCTGTCCCTCCACGTCGACGGAAACGGCACTCGTGCATTCGTCGAGTATCGCAAACTGCGGCGCGTGGTAGAACAGTCGCGCCATCTGTAATTGACGACATACAACTTATTATTATTACACCAATTTAATAATTTAATTAAATAATACACTATAAAGCTTAGAGAATCGCTCGTTGGTTTATTGATTAGTGGACTGCAGAATACAAGGCATTTATTTATAAGTTTACATAAATCACACAGCAAATATTTATACAAATAAAATAATAAGTTAAATGTAATTAATTAAAAACAATTATAGGTAAACATAACATGCTTAAATATTAGAATTGCTAAAGCAAAGTTTGAAGACTAAGTTATAATTAAGCCATGAATAAAATTAGCAAATTCTTCCAAAGACCAGTCAAGACACTAATTTAGCAGTTGTTCAAGCCAGTAAGTAACTACAACATGATGAGAATAAACTTTTCTCATTTCTTAGCAGGTTTTTCTCCTTTGTGTGTCTCCTAAGTGGGGAAAATACGCACCGCAATCCTTTGCTTCTCCCCACCAGAGAGGACGTCCATCCAATCTTCAACAGCGTCCCAGCCGCCTTCGCGTGACGTCAGATACGACAGTTGTACAATGTCCAGGAATGTTCCTAACTCTTCATCTGTACGACCGCGTCGTATCATTTCTTCGCGGGTTTGAGGGTAGATCACCTTAAAAAGGATTTCGTAAAATTTTACCCAACGGAAAACCTTAATTTCCCAACCTAAATTACCATCTATGATCATATGATGTTTTTTTTATAATCATATTCTATACTATAGAATAACATAATTACATGCTACAAACGCGACTAAAAACCTTTTTTAAATAAACCCCTTTTACCAATTTTAATCCCCGAGAACCCGTTACCCTTATTTTAATAGTAGTCCCGATGTTTCGGATGCTTTGTTGTTAGTAATTTTTTTCCCTTTTCAACCCCTTAAGCCTTTTTCCCCCCACTTCTTCTCCTCAACCCCCCCCCACCCCCAGGGGAAATTTTTAATTGTAGTTAAAGAAGCAATTATTGTTGATGTTTTTTTTTATAATCATTTCCATATACTATAGAATACACGTATTAAACACGCGATTTCCACCTAATTAACAAAAGTAAATTCATATTAAATGGCTGATAAGAATATCGTAACTCCGCCCTAGTTTCGAACCAATACCGACAGATGGAAGAGCTGTAAGGTGTAATCGTATTTCGGTGTCAGTCTGTGGATCTCAGATGTCCATAGGTAAAATGGGCCGACAGCGCATTAATTTCGATGTTATAGAGGCCTGGGGTACTTTCCAACAAGTTGACATAAAAATTGCAAAACCAACCTGATCTCTGAAAGTTCCCAGCGTCATGTAAGGTCGTTGCGGAACGTAGAAGAGCTTTCCTTTAGGCGGTTTGGTGAGACTGCCCCCAAAGATAGGCCAGAGTTCACCAAGCATTCTGAACATGGATGATTTTCCACAACCGTTGGGCCCGCAAACCAGTACGTTTATGCCGGATCTGAAGATGCGAAGATTATTTATAGATAATTCTTTGTGGCACAACTTGCTGTTTTATGAGCTAGAGGTACCGGATTTGAATCTCTTGCGAAAATTACAAATTTTTTCCTAAAACGCTAGAAGAAATTAGTTAACTGTTAAAACCCTCGACGAAATTGTAACCCTACCCGATAATGTTGTGTTTTGAGCCGTTAAAAGGGTTTTTTTAAATGTGACCTATAGACAATACTTATCTCCTTTAACATACAATTGTTGAAGACATTAAAAAATGTAAATCAAGTAAGAACTAAACTACTAAATACTAACTTTAACGGTTTAAAACGCGATATATTAGTTAAACTTATTTGAAAATGATTTTTAACTTCGGCCCGACGTTTCGGTCTCCCCGTGACCACGGCTGCTGCAAAGCATCCGAAACGTTAAAGTGTTTTATTTAAATGTGTACTACTCGCGTAAACTATAGACAGACATTAAAAAACTTTGGGTCAGATCTTGTTGTAGTAGTATGTTATATGGCTTGGGTATTTTACCTTCCATCAATGGAACTCTATAGTTGTCTGTCGTCCTCTATCAAGAAAAAGTATACTAAGATACTTACTTCACTTCAAATGACAATTCTTTGATAAGTACATCACCATTAGGCGTGACTAACGGTACTTTGTCGAAACGAATAATGTTGTCCCTGTAGATAATTTTGCCAGCACCTGGGGTCAAAGCCAGTGGACTGCTTGAACCTGCTGTAAGAAATTATTATTAAAATAATATAAGCATACATTAACGTACGTTTGCTTTTGTGTTATCTTCCTTATAGAAAAACGTTATCTCTTTTGATCACGTTTTAAACCCTATAAATGATTTCAAAATACATCTAAATAGTTTTCCTTGTATACATATCAACAAATGATAAACTTTTTTGATAAAAACAAATCTATCAAGAGCTATTGAGCTAATTTTTCGAAGCCTACATACAAATTAGTTTCTATAAAAATTTGGTCCTTCGTGCCGGACGACTCTCGTTTTGTAAACTTACCACTGCCGTTAGCTTGCCTCTCGACCATAGTGCGTTCATAGTTTCCTTTGTTAATATCGTCCAGGACAGTCCGTAACTGCGTCACGCGCGTCGTTAGCCCAGCTAACTTGCTCAACTCACGTCCAGATAGGACTAGTCTTCCTATCCCTTCCGCCATTTTGACTAACATACGACCGTATGTATAGTAATGCTGAAAGGTGTAAGTTTTTAAACTTTTGTCTTAGTAATTTAATTATAATAACAATGTTTAAAATTATCATACTTATTAATATACATTATAATAATTAAAGTATCTATTGTTAGTATTTCTAGTATCAGAGTGTTTAAAAAGGATAAATAATGAAGAACAGAGGCTACTCACCCTAAATCTCTCTTGTTCAGAGCCACCGGTGAGTAGATTGTGGTCTTTGACAAAGAAGGGTCTGGACACAGCATAGAAGCCGACGACAATAGCGACATCTGTATTCAATACAAATATATGACATTTTGTTTTTTGTTCAATAATAAAAATATTAAAATGATATTTCAATTGCAGTCAATTACATTTTTTATCTAAACAACTACATTATTTACAAATTTAATGAGGCCACTTTGCAAAGCTAGTTATTTCTTTTAATTATAACGGGTTATTGGGAATTTGTTTAAGTAAGTGGTTTGTTTACCAATGAGCTTTAGAAGTAAAAAAGCAACATGTTTCTCATTTTTGTTGTTTCCAGAACATGATCTAAGTACTTGGTTACTTACATTTAGCGACAATATTGTCTATGAAACCCATAGCCACCCGGAAGTTGAGGAAGTTCCTCAAATGTCTCGTCAGCTTATAGAAACTGGACAGAAGCGTTAGTTGTTCGCGACGATTACCCTGAAATAATAAAGTTACATGTTCCGATATAGGGTCCATATAAATATTACAAAGCTAAGATCAACTCAAATCTTATGCATCTTTTAAATGAACAGTATAAACACATACTTTTGACACATTAACTCCAAAATCAATACTAAGATTCGAAAAGAAACCTATAGTAAAATAGGCCTTTATTGGGCCAACTGTGTTACACAAGAAACATACTACCTATCCAATAAAATAATAAAGAAATAAATAAAAATAACTAATATTCATAAAATAAAATATTAGTTTCAAGATATATCTAAGTAAAACGTAAATTTCTTGCTTTTTACATTTCTTAAGATCAATCTATCGTGCATGAGCGGGACTTCTACCATCTATTGTCGATGATTTTTCATTAGTGTTAATATAAAAGTGTCGCAAAGTGCTTTTAGTGCAAATCAATGTAAACCTTGTGAGAAAATAACGATTTATGTAAATTGTGTGTTTGTCTACGCAAAATGCAAACTAAAACACACTATAGACATTTATATTTAAAAAAAATACCTGGTAGAATGCGATCTCCTCGGAATTGGTGATCAGTCTCGAATTGACGAATCTATACTCGCCCTCCAACTTTTGCTCTTGTACGGTCATACGAGCTAAAATATATTTAGTATGATAAGATTATTGTTTACTTAAAACTATTTCTTCTAAGGCAACATACATGTTTCAGTAATTTATCAGACCTTTGTGCTCCTCCCGAAACATAATGATTCCCCAGGATTCAAAACTAGACCACCAGTCCCACATTTAACACAATGCTATCGAGATGGTCAATATACATGTACTATATTTCATATCCTAAGCGTATTAGTATGTGAAATTAATATACACTTTAAAATTTGACAATTTAATGCGTCTGTAGTTAACGCGAGTAGTACACATTAATTAAAATATTTTAACGGTTTAAAATGCGATATAGGCATATTAGTTAAACTTATTCTGTTGCTTTGCAGCAGCCGTGATAACAACGAAATATCGGACTGAACAACAGTTAAAATTAATTTAACTAATATATATTTCGTTTCAAACCCAAATTAAAAATTATATGTTATTTTTATAGTTATTTAAGTGTAGTTTTCATTGACTCACCAGTAGGTCTTCTAAGGTATGTCAGGAAAACACCGGATGCTAATAAATATGCCATCATTAGTCCGGGTGTCTGAAAAGAAATATAAAATGGTACAGTAGAATGTGGATAGTCCATAATTTATAAGATGTTTTTGAAATCAGATAACCAAAGGGCCGGTTCGTTCTCCACTGGGTCGAATATTTTCCTAATTAATTTATAATTTTAATAAATATCGGAATTCCGTCCTCGTAAATTATGTGTTTCAAACTAGAATTCCTATAGTTTACATCTCAAAGGTAAGTTTCTGATTTCGTAATGGCGCTATAGTGTAATATATTCTTAGTTTTGGACACCGGGTCTTTTTAAAATATTTAAACAAATTCCGACTTGGGAGCGTTAGGAGCCCGGGCAGCTTGGTAGCTTAACGGAAAACTTACCGAAGGTCCCAGATTCACAGTTAGACGATAAAGATAGATGGATATATCCAGGAGGGGCTTGCTGATATAACTGTAGAGGTCAATGACCGTGTCGCAGAACTTCTCAATGTCGGTGGTGAGAAGCTGGTCGGCGTTCGATATCCGGTTGTCTAAGTTTGTTACTCTGTAGTATGTGAAACCTCTGCAATGGCAAAAATAATATATTCTAAGTTTATTACACTTTAAATAAAACATTTAAACAGTTTAATACACCTAATGTAATATTGAAGGAACAACAACGACCCGACGTTTCGGATGCTTTTGCAGCCGCTATGGTCAAGGCGAGGCGGAAGGACCTAAGTTGGGTCGTACTTAAAAATGCACTTCCCATATAACGCTTAGTGGTCCTTTCAGGGCTAGAAGTGTGTGAAATTTCATATGAAAAAAAAACAAGTTCCTTTTAATGTAATTAATATGAACGACTCAACGTGACGTAATCTTTCGGGAAGTATAACTATCTATCATTATTATTCTGTATTAGAGACACCGGAAGAAGCCGGGAGACTCTCCAGTCTGCTAAACATTCCACCCATTTCCGCATTATGGACATTGGGTTATCCAACTCATATCAGAATATCTCGCAAGAGCGACGGGACGCGGACGAAGTGCCACGGCGTATGTATACCACCACGTTCCAACATGCCACCTATGTCTGGGTCACATGAAAAAGTGTAGACTACGTAATTTCCCTAAGATAAACGTTCGTTTAGATTCCAATATGATATCTATCGTTCATTACCACGCCACAGTATCATACTAATTACAATCCAGTTCGAAGAGGTCAAAACGAATGTGAAATAGTTAAATTAACATTCATTTTATGTGCATTAATGAGAATGGAGTGACTCGGGAAAATCGATGCACGACTATTGTATAAAAATCGGTGCCTCAAGTTGTTGAGCTCACTTTTCCCGTTGCCCTATTGGACATTAAGGGCCATAACACATCTGATGGGCTAATGGTAGCTACTAATCTACGGGTAGGTTAGATTTTGTTTATAATCAATTTATAACTTTTCTAAAACACATTGGACTTCGTCTGAAAATCTGTATATTAAATAAGTGGTAGTATCCTATCTACTAGCCAAAGGTTGTCGTTGTGAGATTTTTTACAGCTGGGGTATTTTTACATTCCATCGAGTGACGCATGTGGATGCTTGTCGGATGATTTGAAAACATTTTTTTTATACAGTTATAACGATGTTAATCCAATGCAATTCAGGAATTATCGCTTCGAATGTAATTAATAATTAAACAACTAAATACATTAATTAATATAACTTGTATAGAATCAATTTTTATTAACTTGGTGACTTGATAACTGCAATTGTCTTATACAAGGCTAATGGATGCGTTCCATTGGACATTGAGTCAAACTTTTCCGATGATTTCTACTTCTGGTATATTCTTTTATATTTTGTAAAGTTTTATCTCTTACTAATATATAAAACTGAAGAGTTTGTTTACTTGTTAGAACGCGCTTAACTCAGGAACTACTGGTTCGAATTGAAAAATTATCTTTATGTTGGCTAGAGCATTAATGTTATGCAAGAGCGAGAGTGGGAATCGGTGGGGAAAACGGGGAAAATTTTTCATCTTTGACGGTTCCCGTTGCGTGCACTGCGAAAATTCTTCAAATGATCTAGAAAAATGTCCACGACGTCCAATGTCTATCTTTTAAGATTTACTTGCAATGTAGACGGGATGAGACCGACGTCGTGGGTAACAGCAATAATTAAAAAGATATATCATGAGGCATTGGGTCAAAGTTGTGTACTAAAACTGCATCTTATCTTGATTACGTTTGTCATCACCAAGGCCATTAATTTCACCTAACAAAAGACGGTTTTGTGCTTTTTAAAAATGCCTTTGACTAACTGTTTTGATTATCACTGACAATTCTTATAGACGACTAAAAAATCATTGTCTCGTATTCTCGAAGGTTGCGTCATAGCATGAGACGTAACACATCCGTTCAAAGTACAAACAAATCAATACTATGATGATATATAACAAGTTCTACAATAGAAGTAACATACAGGTTTAATACAGTTTTAATATCGTAATTACGCAGCAAAAAAGGCCGATTATAGAAATTTCATTTGGAATAATTGTTTCTAATGAAATAATTCAATCATTTAATATTCGATAAGATTAGAAGGGATTGCGATAAGTGAGATAGGTTCTGAGTTTGAAACTGCAGTCGGATTTTGAGCTAGTCTGATGACCTTATAGATAGCCTTTTTCTTGTCTAGCTGTGTCAGCGACTACATCCGCATAGAACGTTATTTTGGTCGTGCAAATTTGTTTTTACAAACCACCTCTACACTTTTTTAAATTTAAACTTTCATCTACGACATCGGTCGCGTCCCGTCGTTCTTGCAAGTTAATCGTAAAAGATAGACATATAGCGTCGGCGGCCTTTTTTTTGTCGTTTATAGAGGAATCATTCTTTCATACATATTTTTTGGGTGTCTTGAAGCATTTGCAACGTACGCATCTGTAACCCACAGAGATGAAAATTTCCCCCGTTTTGTTCACATTTCCTGCTGTATCTTCTATTAGTCACAGTGCGATGTTTTACATACATATATATATATATATAGCCTCCCTCGATAAATGCTCTAACCAACGCAAAAAATATTTTTTCGATTCGAACCCGTAGTTCCTGAGATTAGCGCGTTCAAACAAACGAACAAACTCTCCAGATATTAGTATAGATTATGGATTAGTAAGGGATAAACAACTGGTTTGCACCGTGACCCACTTATCGAAACGGAACATCGAAGTATATATATTTTTATGAAATATAGTAAATTGGCATTGAAGTTACATAATTTGAATGTATTTTCCGTGGCTTATTTAATCGTCTCAAGTCGACTTAACTCCACGATCAGTATCTCTGTCGAAAAAACTAATTGGCAAATTATCTTTAATTAGGGATTACGTCATTGATATTGTATTTAAATGGAGATAAATGTTTGAAAAATATACATAAACGGGTACTCTAGTGCCTGACTGTAAGGTTGAAGCTTTGTTAAACAGTATCACTTTCAGTTCTTTTCCAGAGTGGAAAAATTTTGTAGTAGCGAACTTGGAAATCGTATTTAAAGTTGGACTACGTGATTACCACTGAGAACAACTTATAAGAAAACATTTTTCAATAAGCTTTTAAAGTATGGAGACATTAAATAATATTACTAAAGAGAACTTATTATTTAAAATCTATTTTATTTTTAATCCACTCCTTCCCTACAATTAACGAACTATGCAATTATAGTTTTCCGGTACAGGCAGTTTATCGTATGAATTAAGATCTATCTTAGAAAAAATATTAAAACACGCGCGGAACACGAACCTACGTTCCGACAACTGCGTTCCGTGGTTTTGCAAGTCAGTTGGTGTCGTATTTTTCTTTACAGATTTCTTACTTAATGGGTTTGTGTATTTATTGTCTCCTGGTACCTTTCCAAATTTAATACTGTATATAGATAATATAATTGTTTTGAAAAAGTCATAAGAATTAATTAAACGTGTTAAAAATATTTAATTATCCACGCAACAATAATAATATTTTTAAATATCAGCAAAAAGCAAAATTTGAATATTTTATCACAACCTTGGATAAAGTCTCATAATTTTAACGAAGTATCAAGCTGTCCTCGTTTTTTTTCATTAAGTTAAAATAAAATTGCATTTTTTACGATTTAAGTGTAGTACGACACGGTGCAGTGGTTCTATAGACTGTTTTTGTCATTTAATTAAATAAATGACAATTTAAATTGAAAAAGAAATGCGACGCAGTCGAGACTACACCGAGGTATACCGTGATGAATGGTTAATCGGTTAGAGCAGCACGGAACGCGAGGGAACCGGTTCAGGTCCTGCCACTGTCATCAAATGTTTTCATACTTAATATATTTTTCAGTTCTATTACGCCATCACGTTAAAAAATAAAGTTTTCACTTTAATTCAAAGTTCCTTGACATTACATTTAACATTTAATCCCATTTCCTCTGTTACAGACACATTTCTGTGTCTATTACACGGGTTGATTGTTAATTACAAGTTGATTAGACTTCGGTGATGTGCCCAACCGGCGATAACAGATTCTCCGGGTGTCAAACCTAGGACCTAGATCAAACACTGAGCTACAATAATCTATGAAATACTTACTTTAAATACTGTTCGTATAAATATAGCGATAAGTTTGTCCTTAGCCTAAGTTTGATTTCTCCTATGCTCCATTTGAGTACATTATTTACTAGTGATATCTGCAATCAAAAAATAAACAATTAGAAGAGAAACAAGTAGTACACTTAAATAAGCCAATTTTAACGGTTAAAAACGCGAAACGTCTTAGACGTCTGTTCTACAGCTTCTCCAAAGAGTACAAAACGTCGTAGTTAAAATAAAGATTCAAAATAAGGTACATCACACATATTTCCCGACTTTTTAAGTCCCGTTACTAAGGTGGTCAAATATACTAGAGCGAGCTAGGTCGCAGTCACGTTGTTTGCACATCATAATTTTAAATTAGATCTCGTAAATTATTTAAATTTTAAACGATAGGTTCTACAACTTTAATTAATATTTCAAATACGCAATTGGTACCAAAAAATATATGAGGGTTCCAAAATGTATGTCACACGAATTTCAGGAGCCCTCTCACCCTTTTGAGCTCACACCATGTCACAATTCGTCGACGCCCCCCCCCCCCCCTTTACGTGTGACGTACTTTATGGATGTCCCCTAATGAGGACGGAGATACTCACCAAAGGCATAGCCACGAAAAATTGTGTCAGAAGCTTCTTGAATTCTAGTTTGTTCATTGTGATAATTGACCTGGAAAACAAACATTTATTAGTTTCCACATTGTGTCTCTCCACTTTTAGGATTCGGTAGTAGAGAATACAAAACAATTTGTTGTCCGTCTGTTACCAGACTGTCTCTTAAGAGCCACGATAGATACAGATAAATTGTGAATTTGAACAATAAATTTTGGCTGCTGTAGTAACAACAAATACTACCAACAAAGAAGAATGGACTTTCAGGGCAGGGTAGGGGGGGGGGTTCCTTATATATATACATATTATGAGAGCCTTCTCATAATAACCAAAAATCAATTACATAACAAATACTGTTTAGTTTACAATAGTACACATTTTCTCCCCGTGACCGCGGCTGCTGCAAAGCATCCGAAACGTCGGGCCGAAGTTAAAAATCATTTTTAAATAAGTTTAACTAATATATCGCGTTTTAAACCGTTAAAGTGTTTATTTAGATATGGTACCTACGGAACGCTTTGAGCTTAAATTCGACTAGCTCTTGACCGGTTTTTATTATTAATAAATATATATGGGCTTATGACGTAATAAAGACAAATTTAATAATTGTTATTTGAAATATGTATCATTTCTTACACGATTTTATGATACAAGAAGCCAAACACTATGGGGTTCTAAATGGAAGGTAAAGTACCCAGCTATACAACATCTCAACGAGTTGCTCTGTCAACCTATTGGCTTTGGACGGCTGTTTCATCTCAGGTTGTGGACGGTAAATCGTGACCGGGACGGAATTCCGATATTCCTACCGCCCATTTATTATCCAGGTTTCCAGATGTTTTAAAACATGTTGGATACGGTGATCGAACCGATTGATGATACAAATCAAGGTTTACTTTTTAAATAAAACACTTTAACGGTTTAAAACGCGACATATTTTAGTTAAACGTTTTTTTTGTCGAGAATTACTTATAACTTAAACCGTTAAAGTGTTATATTTAAAAAATAGTTAAGAATAATTTTTAACTGCTAAAGTCTCCCCGTGACCACGGCTGCTGTTGCAAAGCATCCGCAAACATCAGGTCGTAGTTAAAAATAATTTTCAAAACGAAAAGTTTAACAAAAATATATCGCGTTTCAAACCGTTAAAGTGTTTTATTTAAATGTGTACTACTTGCGTAAACTACAGGTAAGTTTTACTTTTCAAGTCCTTAATTCTATGTTGTTGAAACATCTAGCTGTCATAGATATGATCGTCATCGGTAGGTATCTACTTTACCTATATATCAAACCAACTTATATAAATATCAACTGTTCCAAGAACAGGTTTTTAGAAGAAAACTGACCTTTGAGACTTAATTTTTTTCTTTTATTTGTGTTCGATGTATTTTTTGCGACAGAGGACGACAGACAAACCTCAAATATCACGATTCGAAAATCTATAGACTAACACGTAGTTGTTTAGATGTCTGTGCTCTGCCCGACCGAAACAAATTATCGTTTCCTGGGATCGAATCACGTCCTCTAGTAACGCAGCGCGAAGTGGCAAATTGAAATATATAATTATACGTTAATAACTATAATAATTGATCAATCAACTTTCCTGCAGTGACAGTTTTATTCTACTATATATAGCGTGTCCATGATAACATAAAATTGCTCTATTATAAAATATTCAAATCACTACAGTGAATATTCATTTACGACCATTTACCCGAGCAACGATTCTATGAAGAGAAAGGTATTTTTCTTCCATTGATCCGGCTTGTCCGACAATTAATTTTATTGTGTTATTAAGTTGTAAGAAATTATCTTTGGAGGCGGGCACGTTTCGGCACAAGACACTCTAGTTTTCGAACTTTGTTTGCATTTTCCAGCCCGTACTGGTTAACTAAATACTGTCTATAGTTTACGCGAGTAGTACACATTTAAATACAACACTTGAACGGTTTAAAACGCGATATATTAGTTAAACTTATTAAGAATTATCTTTGTTTGCTTGTTTGTTGTTGTATGTATATATGTCAGTTCTTCAAGACAGGTGTCATAAATTGGGGATCACTTGGTCCAAAACCACCAGACAAACGGAATATTTTCATAAATTACTAGGTTCCAGCTGGGGTAATATAATAAATTGTTTCGGCATAGATGTTTGATCAATTACCAGAGTGCAAAAACCTCGAACCAGGAAACAGACACAGAAATGTTGGACTCGCTAATTATGGGATGTGAGGCCGCAGCCCGCAGGGCGCTGGTGAATTTAATAAAAATCATCCAGTTGTCTAGTTGGCCTAATAGTAGCAAAGTATGGCTGATAATTTATTGCCGGGTCGAAATTCCGTCTGGGTCAAGAACCACAGTCCACAGGTGAAAATGCCGTCATGTTTAATCGCGTTTCGTATTCAGTCTATGGATTTCCGAATATCCAAAGACAAAATAGGCCGACAGTGTATCTCTCAAAACGTTATATGGCTGGAGTATTTCACCTACCTTCATGGGGGGTTGTCAGTTTTACTCTATCGTAAAAAACAATAAATAAATATAATGAGTTGACTAATGTGTGACGTCACGACAATGTTTACCCTTCTGTTCCCTTCCCCAACTTTCACTACCTGTTAATGATAATCTTTTAGCGTCATGGCCGACTAGTAACGCAAAATTTAACATTGAAAGACCTTTCACTGCGAAAAAGGCAAATAGGACATATAAAAACATATAATATACACATATCACAACATTGTTGCATGACAAATATACAATACTATATTGCAAATCTTCATGAATGTCTCTAAAAATTACATTTCTAAGTATTTATTTAGTTTTCTTTATATGCAGAACGTGAAGTTTCTATTAATTCCATCTTTCAAGCAATACATAGAAGTTATTTTTGAGTTCCCACCACTTAAATCTCCGTTCAGACTATAATCTCCTTCTATTTGTTACTAAACATGAAACCTCTTTCTTTAATAGTTCTGTCACCGTAAAAACTATCCGCCTTTGGAACTCTCTCACTACTAATATCAGAAAAGCTCAATCTCTCCGTTCTTTTAAGACTATTCTGTATAAACTTTATCTTTCCAACACTTAAGTTAGTTTTTCTCCTACTTGCTGTGTATACTTTTACGATATACCTGTGCTTTTATTATTCTTAACACCTACCCACTTAGTAAGTCTTTTTCTTTTCTCCTGTACCTACTTCTAATTGTCTAGAAGACATCGCTGCTTAGCGATAAGACCAGCTTTTATTTATAACTATGTACGTAAGATTTTTCCTCTTATATATGTTTTATGTATGTGTTATAAATAATAAAGCTATGATAAAAAGATAAACAAAATATTAACAAACAAGTACAATTTGTTTACGTTCGCGAACAGAACGCCTTTTAGGTCGCTAGTGAAGACGCAGCGTAACTTACTACATTCCTCATGTGTAGCAATCATAGACATCAGCTGACATTAATTTAATATCCCGCGTAACAAACGCGTCAACCGGTTTTATCTTATTCGTTTTGATTGCTTATACAAAGTTGGCGATATTCGTTTATTTGTAATTTTCCCGCGAGACTCGAATCCAGGGCAACTAAATCAATGCAGTGTTTTGTCCTTGGTTTTCAATACACTTGTATTCAAAGACATCTATATAGTTATTTTTGTTAATATTATTTAATAATCCACGAAATAAAAATCTTACTTGCTACCATTACGTCATTAACGACAGTCCCTCCCAACGCCAACACCTAGATTTTTTACTAAACATAATTATTCGGTAATGTTATTTACCAAGTCATAGAAAGTTTACTTAGCAGACCATCAAGCCATTTCACTTTTCCAAACTACATATAAGTAATAACTATTGCTATATGTTTTCATCAGACACATATAAGTGTGATGTAGAGCGTCGAACCTGCTTTAACTTACAAATTGTATCCATCATATTTATTGTATGTAAATGGTTGTTAATATACTGCCGGTGTGAACTTGCTTTAAATAATAGACTATGGCCCAAGAATGAAACTAAATGCCACACTAAAAACATTTTAATAACAGTGGCACCATATGGCTGTTTATTTCAATATAATGTGTATAACATGACTTACAACAATTATTAATAAAATTATATATACTTCCTCTATTTATTTCTGTCAAATACTCAAACCCACCGAGGCTACTGAAAATCGGGGCTGTTCCTTTCTCGTATTGTATATTATTCTTAAATTTTGTTCACATATCGAGATGTATACATCAATAAGTATGTAGTGAATATTACAAACTAATAAAACTTAACACTTACCCTTCTATGTATGTTGTATGTTGAATGATCCATAAATCACACATAGTCCTAGCTATTAATGAGAAGGCAATCATCATCATTAGACCACTTTCCTTGGACCAAAACCCAGGAACCATGATCTTCCATAGTGCTTTCAACTCCTTGAAGAACTTTGCATTAACTTGAGCTCTTGGGGTCTTTTTATCTTTATCCTTTATCATGTAATGTACACTTTCCTCAAGTGTAAGACGTCCTGGTTTCACATTTTTCTTTTTGCTGAAGGTAGAAAATATGATTTAATAGTCATATTATGTTGTATCGTAAATAAAACTGACCTTCATAAAAAAAATTATGAGGACGTTATGGGTTTATATATAGATGGACAATAAATATGCTATGTAAAATATATAATGTTTTCTTACTCAAAGTATGTATTTAAGAATACAATTGTAAAAAGGTTAAAATTAAAACTGTTAATAAAATAAAAATTAAAAGTGTGTCAGCTAATATAAACCACCAATCTCAAAAACTAGAGGTACCTATGACTTATAGTGCTCTATAAACTAACAATAAGCTTTTTACTCGATAATATATTATCACACAGTTTGTAATAGCTTACTAAATATTAGCATACACAGTATGTTTATTTTCTTAATTGTTAAAACTCTATCATATCTTTTTAAGCCATTGATGCAAGTTTCCATGCATTATTGTAATGCAAAATGCTGATTAACCCAGTGGGGCATGGGGCACATTGAATGTCAGTTTGATTATCTTCACAGGCATTTGTTTCCTGCGTGATCAAATAATTTATCTTTCCCCATGATTAGAACCCGGGATATCAGGTTCTTAACCCAATGCTAGGCAACATGTTCACCCATTGAACTACAGCGGTTGTCAAGGCAGGAAATAATGTTAAGAACTACTATCCCAACTTATAGAAGTCTTCCGTCGTAATATTTTCTTTCAAATCAAAGTTGCTCTAAATGGAAAAAACCAAGCTTAAAAAACTTACCTCGATTTAATAGCATTATTTACAATCCATGCACCGATAGCAGCTGATGCTGCTATACCAATTTTAACGTCTGTCCTTGAAGTGAATTTACTAAAATTTGGTGCCATTATTATAATAAACTTGTGGACATTTGATAGAACTCTTAGGAAACAACTTAGAATTGACACATTATAAGATATTGCACTGCCACTTTTAAAATGCTCGAGCAGTAGATTTTTGCTCGTTAGATTAAACTATCTTTAACAGTTAATCTAAACTTTTAAGTAGACAATTTTACACTTCAGAGTTCATATACACGTTCCAGTTCTTTTCAATTTTAATTGTTTAGCCCGAACTGCGAAATGACTGTGTTGCAACGACTGACCACTTGCCACTTTTTAATAGAAGTGACACTTGACAGTACAACAATGTGATATCGACAGATGCAATGTAAACTGACAGTATACATTGTAATGTTGCCATTGTGACAGTTTAATATCAAATTTAAGAGTAATGTTAATTCATTAATTGAAGTAGATTTCGAGATATTATTTAGTACCTCTTTAGTATGCATTTCAAGTGATTGGTCAATATAAGGAGTATATGAAAAGAAAACAAAATTTTAAATTAATTAAATACTTTATTCTAAGATTAAGCAGTACATAATCATCTGTTGATTTGGAAACGCAATAAATAACTTAAAACTAATCAGTCAAACTTAAAAGGAACTACATATTTACATCGACTTTAGTATTGGGATCTAAATAAAATTACTTCTTAGTCTACTTCCTCCACCGTGGGGCCTCGATTTCCGTATTGTTGGTAACCTTGTCCTTGGGGAAAGCCTTGTCCCTGTGGAAAGCCTTGTCCCTGGGGAAAGCTTCCAGGTGCACCTCCCGCGCTTGTTCCATGCATCTTAGTCATGACAGGAGAACATGTCCTTTGTACATCCTTCAGCTTATGCTCATATTCTTCCTTCTCAGCCAATGTGTTGTTGTCCAACCACTTCAGCGCTTCATCGCAGACATTTCTGGCGCTATCCTTGTCATCTTGGCTGAGTTTCTCTCCCGCCTCGTCGAGTGCCTGTTTTACACTGAAGATGTACGTTTCCAGTTGATTTCGAGCTGCCACTCTTTCCCTTTGCCGGTTGTCTTCCTCTTTGTACCTTTCTGCTTCAGCTAACATGCGGTCAATTTCAGCTTGAGACAGTCTTCCCTTATCATTCTTGATAACAATGTTTTTGCTTCTACCAGTGCTGTTTTCTTTAGCTGAGACGTTCAAAATTCCGTTTGCGTCCAAATCGAAAGTGACATCAATCTGAGGTACTCCACGTGGTGCAGGTGGTATACCAGTAAGATCAAAGCGTCCCAGTAGGTTGTTGTCCTTAGTCATTGCCCGCTCACCCTCGTAGACTTGTATGGTAACCGCTGGTTGATTATCAGAGTATGTGGTGAAAGTCTGCGATTGCTTGCATGGGATTTTAGCGTTACGTTCAATAATCTTAGTCATTACTCCCCCTGCGGTCTCGATACCCAAGGATAGTGGTGCCACGTCAACAAGCAAGACATCTTGGATTTTGCTGTGTTGTTCTCCGCTCAAAATAGCTGCCTGTACGGCAGCACCATAGGCAACAGCTTCGTCGGGGTTGATGGAAAGGTTTAATTTCTTGCCGCAGAAGAAGTTCTGTAACATACTCTGAATTTTCGGTATGCGGGTAGAACCTCCTACCAAGACAACATCGTGGATGGAACTCTTATCAAGTTTCGCGTCCTTTAAAGCTTTTTCAACAGGTTCCAGCGTACCGCGGAACAAGTCAGCGTTTAACTCTTCGAACCGTGCACGAGATATCCGCGTGTAATAGTCGATGCCTTCGTAGAGCGCATCAATTTCTATGGTGGCCTCTGTGCTCGATGACAGCGTTCGTTTAGCCCTCTCAGCAGCGGTTCGGAGTCGCCGAAGGGCTCTCGGATTGTTCCTCATGTCCTTCTTGTACTTTCGTTTGAATTCATCCGCTAGATAGTTTACTAGTCGGTTGTCGAAGTCCTCTCCGCCAAGATGTGTGTCGCCGGCTGTCGCTTTAACTTCAAACAGTGACCCTTCATCTATGGTCAGTATAGACACGTCGAAAGTACCACCACCGAGATCGAAAATTAAGACATTACGTTCTCCTTTAAGGTTCTTGTCCAGACCGTAAGCCAACGCGGCGGCTGTAGGCTCGTTAATGATTCTGAGGACGTTAATTCCGGCGATCGCCCCAGCATCCTTCGTCGCCTGTCGCTGAGAGTCATTAAAGTATGCTGGGACTGTGATGACGGCGTCCCTAACGGTTGTACCCAAATATGCTTCCGCAGTTTCCTTCATCTTCGTTAGAACCATACTACTGATTTCCTCTGGCGCGAATCGCTTTGTTTCGCCCTTAAATTCAACCTGGATTTTGGGTTTGTCGCAGTCATTGATCACTTTGAAAGGCCAATGTTTCATATCCTGCTGAATCTTGTGGTCATCGTATTTTCTGCCGATCAGTCGCTTCGCGTCAAATACAGTGTTGCTGGGGTTCAATGCGACCTGGTTCTTGGCGGCATCTCCGATTAGTCTCTCTGTATCCGTGAAGGCAACATATGATGGTGTTGTTCGGTTTCCTTGGTCGTTAGCGATGATCTCCACGTTGCCATGTTGCCATACTCCAACGCACGAGTATGTTGTACCAAGATCAATTCCAATAGCTGGCATCTTTAAGGATATTTTTGTCTCTTCCAAATTGTAATTCACCAGTCAATATCACTTGTTCACTTATTGTTGTTTGTGGTAATATGTTCGCTTCGAGAACTTGGTGTTTTGCACCGAATTCGCTTGTAAGTTTCGCTTCGTTTGTATTTTCAAATACTGATGCTTTGCCGCGCTCTTACGGACCTTATATACTCCCCGGCCGTTAGCGAATAGCGTTCGAGAAAATTCTAGACGCTTCTCGCGATAGCCAATGAGAAGTGGGTTAGAGTAGAACATTCTAGAAACGTGTATTTATCGCCCAATAAAAATGGAGTCGCGCGAGATAAAGATAGAGGTAGAAAATTATAGAGCAGTGTGACGAGGACAAAACACACACTGTCTCTACGCACACAGATACAAATAATCTTTGGGTGACCGGTTAAAGGATCTTGCCAAAATACAGGATTTATTTATTTATTTACTACAACTAAAACGGAATAAGCCAATTACATTAATTGTAAAAAAATCACAATACAAACAAAGAAGATTCACACCATTTGAAACAATTGGACAAGATTGTTCCATAATTGTAAAAAAATAAATCGACATTAGGATTGCTGTCCAGAAGCGTTGTATTACCATACCATATAAATTTCATCCCATGTATGTACGTTATAACATAATTTACAATTTTAAGACATTGTTTTACAGTGGTACGTTAAAATATTAAGACGAAAAAAAAATGATTATATTCAATTTTCTTTACATCTTATATTTGTGTTTCTTTTTTATATATACTTTTTCACAGTAATTCTCTCTAACTTTCCACAAAAACGTATACCTTTAACAATGTGAGAAATTTCATTCCTCATACTCAGCAACACTTTGCCAATGGTATCTCATCTATGCTTTTGCAAGTTTGAATTAGGCATGGTACACAATATGGTATTGTATACGATGCAAACGTTATTTAAGCTAAACCACATTTTAGCGATTGTTGATGTGAAATAAGTTTTCTTTAACTTTAATCTTTATAATTCACCACATTACTATTTTTAAAGATGTAGGTAATATGTATGTTCATATTGAACGATGTAGATAATTATCTAATATAGGTAAATAATTATTTATACATTACTTATGTTATATAACAAATAAAGGAAACAATATATTGATTTGCTATTCACGTACAAAATATTACACTACATAACTCATACAGATCTTCTTTCAAATTTTTCCTTCCACTGTGCTCTCAAGGCTACTAGAAACAATTGCCTCTTTTACTTTCCAACGCCCCGTTTTGCGACTTCTGCCGATTCCCCGATTAATAGAATGCTGCGATCATACAACACAAGATGTAAAAATAACATTCCTACATATGAACATATTCCACAACAGCCTGTACAGATTTCGTATTGTAGTGCGACAGGCTTAGGTTAGTCTAAGTTCATGTTCTGTGTTTCTAATTTGTTTATTTTACATCTTTACATTTACTAATTTAGTTCTGATTAGAATTATGTAGTTTTAATTATATATAAAGTCTTAACTGTGTGCCTATTTAATCGCATTTTTATAATATTTATAAGTATGTAAAAATCATGTATGTTGTATCGCAGCCAAATAAATAAATGAAACACTAGTATTGAAGTGTTTTTTGTAATTATATTAAAAACTATACTATTAATATTTAACTTAATAGAGCCTCATAAAGGTTCAATCACCAAAGGTTGGTGTAAATACTCGTCTAAAAGACTTTGGTTTTTGTATTTAGATAAGATAAAATGAAAGATTCTAAATACGTATATTAGTCCATTAGTAGTAAAGTATGTACAATATACCTTTACAATATTGGCTATTACTTTAAGTTTAGTAAAGACAATGATTCGTGGTCATTTTCTTCATTCTAGGCTGTATATTTAGTTATATGTATGCCAGCATTTAATTACAATAAAACATTTTAATACATACATTAATAGTACATGACAATAGTTTTTATGAGTTATTGGCACCTCGTTTACGATAGTTTAACGAAAATAAAACTAAAACTTAAACTAACAAATGTTACAGAAATTATATTTATAAAATATGTTGCGGTTTGGAACCTATACTAAAATCGCCAGCTTGAAACATATTTGTATTTAAAATACGTATTATACGTTATGAAAAAAAAATACAAACGTGGTAGGGAAACATTGTTAAGGTAAAAAACATTTTATGAAATCGGAAACGGATTCTTATTATTAATCAACAAGACAATAGCAATATAATAATAAGACCACGTAATTATTTGGCAATTTACAATTACAGACATTAAAAAGCAACAGAAATAAGAATACAAGGTTAAATATTCTTATCATTCAACAGTGTACAACTGCCATTACCGGAATTTGTTACGTCTTGGAATTTAGACCTTATTCCCGTGTATTAGAGCCTATAAGGGATATTTCTAGAATATTCTCCGCTATTGATCATGGATTTGAACGAGTTGCGCTGCAGCTGCCTGTAACGTTTCTCTTTGTCCCCGACCCCAACCCCCATGCAAACATTCACCCTGGGAGACTGCAGTTTCTGGACGTTTCGGTATTGATCTCGATTCAATGCAATGGGAACTCATACTGCTTGTTGCGCTATAGTGTAAGAGCTAAATCACTGTATTAGTTTTATCATCAAAATGTCCAAATTAATGATTACAAAAATGATTACGAAATCCCCTTTCGAACAACTATTAAGATAATGCTAATTTACAAGTATATTGTTATATGTGCGTCACTGATTTTTGCGCAATATTGAGCAAGTTATAAAAAATATACCTACAAGTAATATAGGTAACCGGGCATGGAAATCGTGGAGTGATTTACTTTTTTAAAATAAGCATATACATAATATAGCAAAAGCAACTTGAAGATTCATTGGCCTAGATTTGGCTTTAGATATTAAGGAAATTAAGGTTTACTCACGAAATATCAATAATTCGCAATAATTATTATTACATAACTATACATTAATATGTATCAAAATTTATACAACATTGTAAAACATGTCTTTGTGTAATACTACCATTGACTAAGAAATTATTATGAAAGCCATGGACTAAACCAAGTAAGCAAGTTAAGGTTAAAATTATAAAGTAGTTTTTTCAAGTTGAATTTGTTAATAAATTCATACAATTCTGATTAGGTGCTATTAAATTTAAATGTGGTTACTGTGTAAAGTTACACTACTTTTGCCTAATTTCTTGCTGCATTTTTCACATTATAAGACCACAAGATGGCTGAGACTAAATATGCGAATATAACACAATATTTTAGCTATTTTGAGTGTAAAGTTAGAGAATATTAATAGAAAAAAATAGCACGGTTTCCTATAATTTCGTACGTTTTATTTTGACATTCAATAATATTTTTTTAAATAATAATTGAATAATCGATAACGATTTTTATAGAAGGGAAAAATATTTCCTATGAGCGTTACAGGGTGTAACACGTATAATAAGACATACACTTATTAGGAGGAAAACGCTCTTTTTCATCTATTTACAACACATACTCAATTCTACGACCTAATTTTGCTGGTAATAAATAATTTTAACAAAGTCTTCTTATTGAATTTCATTTTATTATCAACATCTTTAGCAGTCTAAGCATCTATAGTCATTATTATCGTGCATATTTCACCATGGAAATGTTTAGTCAGCTCTTTCGCTATAATTGAGTTTGGAATAATACAGTACGTATCGCTGTCCCTATTTAACTCGCTTGTTCTTCTCAGTCACGCGAACAAAGAATGTTCTAGAACTATTATACAGTCAAGATAGAAATGACGCTGGTAGAGGGTTACATTAGGCAGCCCACACGCCTTTTCCATTAACAGCATAATACTGCGTCACCGGATGAACTTGAGGGTATAAAAGCGACTGCGCGGGGATTTTGCCACGATACCTATTCCGTTAGCGTAGTGGTGAGGGTCGTAGGTTACAATATGTATTCTAGACCTAGTGTCTGTACCTGTAGGAATAGGTTTTTAGTCATAAATTACCTAGGATTTAAAGTGCATTAGAATAAGGCGTTGAATAGATCATAGAAAACAAAATGGTGGATAGCATAGGATACTCCCAAGATGGCGGAGTCATCGCCCGGTAGAGAATTTAGTAACTGCGCAATATGTTATGACGTCGATAATATGTGCTATTAGAGGTTCCAGCGGCTCAAGGAATATTAAATAAGGTGGGTGATATTTAATTTTCCAATTGTACCTTTAATCGTTTTTTTTTTCATTGTCATTGATTTAAAAATAATTATGACATCAGTTTATACTATGACGTGTTATCAGTTTGTAACTATATATATTATACGTGCGGTGCCTAAAATATTCAAAAAGTGGTGAAATCTTGATTTAGTCAGCTAGGTACTAAGAATTTTAATGATCGTAGTTATAACAATAATAGTGGTGTAAAAAGTGAAACGTAAAGATTTATCAATATTAGAAAACGGTAGGATATTACGATTGTGCAGTGGGGAGACGAATATTGGAATTTGAACGGAAGGTCATAAAAATACGATAGCCTTGTAGAAAGCAAAACCGAAATAAGTAGGTATAAATATAGCAATTTAGGATATCAAATTGTCTGATTTGTTTTGTACTGCATAGATATAAGTACAATTTAGATAACATTTTCAGATATGCCACTGCTCAGTCAGGAAAACTTGCAGAACAGAGGTACAAAAAAAAGTTATCATGGTTCAAGGAATCTATAAAATTGTATATAAACGTCACCATGCAACGATAGGGTATTTTAGGTTAGATTATAACATCTTTTTGAACATAAGTAAATGTATGATCGGTTTTATTCCCGAGAAGTAAAATATAACGGTGACATGAAAATTTAAGATGATGATTAAGGTTGAAGGTACTTTGCTAATGTCAAGACGAGTAATTAGGGAATCGAATAATATATTGACTGACTCTTTAGCAGTTAACTAATGTACTTCAAATATTCAACACCGAATATGATATAATTCAAATTA